CCCTTATACTTTTGCACATAGACTTTCACCCAGAACTCTTCTTGCACATATGTTTCACCCATTATACTTTTCACCCAGAAACTCTTCTTGCATATACTTTTCACCAATACACTTTTCACCCAGAGACTCTTCACCCAGAAACTCTTCTTGCACATACTTTTCACCCATATACTTTTCACCCAGAGACTCTTCACCCAGAAACTCTTCTTGCGCAGACTTTTCACCCATATACTTTTCACCCCGAGACTCTTCACCCAGAAACCCTTCTTGCACATACTTTTCACCCAATGTCCTTCTCTCTCCATTCTCCTCTAACTAGCTGGCCCATCTATCTGTCCATTGACTGAGCCCAGAAAACCCCAGAAAACCGGACCTAGGGGGAATCGATACCCACCGTCACTGTTTTGCCGCCTGGCCCGTTTGACAGCTACCCACCCCCCAGACTCCCTATTCTCACTTCGTTCGCAAATAACAACTAGCCAGCTTCCCAGCTGGCTTTCGTAATAAAAGCTTACTCCGAAGGATTGAATGAAAAACTTGAATTTTCCATGAAATGGAGTTTTGCGCTTTGGTCCAAAAGAGTTTGAGTCTGTTGCAAGTGCGGATTGAGTCTGCGATGCGGTTCATGACTTCTTGTTTATTATCATCATTATTAGATCCATACCTTAGCTACCCTTAGAAGTAAGTCTACAGTTTACACGCACTAAGACTATACCCAAAAAATAATTACGATTAGTATATGGGTACAGTAAGTGTGTGCGTGTGTGTGTGTGTGTGTGTGCATGTGCGTGCAACAAATAACAGGACTTATCTTGAATGACGATGAATTACGCGTGGAAGTCTCGTATTGATATAGCACAGTGCGTCATAGTGCGTGAGACTGCGACATGGGAAACTCTCCAACAGCGTCAGTCCTTGAGAGCCTTCCGCTCCTGCAAGACAGCCTTTTCCCATTGGATAGCTGTGCCACGAAGCAACTCTCGGCAATCAGCTTTCACCTAAACGGAACATGTGCGTGATGGCGAAGCAAGCTATTGGCCAACGTGCATATCATCGACCAATCTCTGTAAATCTAGTCAAGGTCAAAGCTTTTTGCCGATAATCTGATATATATATATATATAATATGTGCGTGTGATTTTATATATATATATATGTGTGTGTGTGTGTTATGTGTATTAATGATTATAAATATATTAATTTAATATACTCTATATAATATGTTACATACACACACATATATTATAGTTATATATATTATAGTTATATGTAATATCATATTATATTATTACAACATTCATGGATATTCAGGGCTTGGAACAGCTTTGGCTTTCGGGCCCCGGCTCTTGCCAGGTGAAGGTCCAACTGTTGTTTCGCGGTGGCGGAGGCTTGCTCCTCAACGAAACGGGGACAGCACGTGGGATCACATGACATGGGGATCCCATGTATGGAGGAAAAAACCTATAAAAACCTAGGTTTTTTATACTTATTTACATACTAAAACTGCCATCTAAAAATGGAAGATCATGAAATTCATTGAAATTCACTTTAAAATGTTCAGTGGGATAAATGATTGTACAATAGTATAATAGTATGTCGTGGTGGCCTTCAATACATCAAAATACCAGCATACGGCTTACTGATGCTGTCAGCAGTGCTCTGAGCTTCAGGCTAATCGCTTTTTAGCTCGAATTACTTCTTGTCTCAACGCTTCCTGCAGAGGCTGGGTTCCGCCCAGCCGGATACGGATACGAAAAACTCCTGTTGGGGATACGGATGGTGCCAAAACATGCCAAAACACCGACACCGAACAAATAGTGGGCATGACGTTTGGGAAACTCTTTTGGTGAACAAAAATGCAGGGCGTTGGCCATTGTGGTTAGCTCGTATAGCAGCATGATGCCAAATGGATCCATGGAACTTTGGACCAGCAGAGGGCTTTTACGTTCCTCCTCACACGTGAACGAGCAATAAATCCTGATTGGTCCTGCCTGTCAACAGGGTGTGAAACTGGTCATCTTGCCGATGGACCACTGGACACTGCAAAATTGCAATTTGTTGACATAAGCTTTAGAAACACCATGTACAGCAGCTGTTTCGGCCTCAACTCTGAATAGTGAGACTCCACTGCAGAACTATTTCTGAGGGAGCGTGTTTGCCTCACTCCAAGACCCCTCTCGAGCCATTGTCCATCGATTTATGGATTTGATGTGCAAAATTGTCCAGCATCCCTGAGAATGCCTCAGTCAAAGGACGTGAGAGGCCAGCTTTACGGGTTTTTTAGCAAGTCCAAATGCAACGAGTTGAGGACATCATAAGCGATACAGTAAGTGATAAACTATGATAAACTAAAAGCTTGTGAACATTCCATTAATGTGAGTGGAGCTACAAAAATGCCACCTAGAATTGCACAGCACTCGGTGAAGAAATGGAACAAACTTTTGCGACTGCTGGTGACACGAACTTCGAAAGGCGTGAAGTCGTAGCTCATCCACAGGCCACTGGCAGCCGCCTCGTAGTTGGGATTCCGAGCATCCACGGCCTTCACGTATTCCGTCACGCTGTACTGATGGCTGGGAACCTCCTCCATGCCATCATCATAGCTGGTAGGGATGACATGGATGTCATACTGGTAGTGCTCTGTGAAGCCAGGTGTCTGGTGACTGGACTTCTGACGTCCATTCAGCACTCGAATGAGGCCTGGAAAGTCTGGGCCGAAGCTCAGGTCGAGCACCTCATGCGAGAAATCTGCCATCACCGTGAGCTCGGTCATTTTCTCCACCTTCACGTGCTCGGACCGTAGATGACGTGGAATTCCAAGGTGTAAAGTGGCAGGCACCTGGGGCCAAGCCAAGTTGAAAACACAAAGTGAACAACTGGAGGGTACAACCCAGTGAGGTTCATAATCATGTGCCCTATCACAAGAGCTAGTTGGAGATCAACCCCCCATTAGAATCCACAAAATATCCTTTAGACATATCTAAAGAATCACTCAGAATCACTAATTATATAAATGAATCAGAAAAAGCCAAGCTGAAGCTTGAGATCGGCTGAAATCGACTGTCACATACTGTCACTCTGTCACTCCCCGCCTTTCGGACATGAAGCTTTGCTTGGAGCCTGCAGCCTTCAGCTTCTCGCGCTGGCTCCTTGTCATAAAGCTCGTCCAGGCATTGCCTCGGGACATGCTGGGACCCGACGATGGAGGATGGGGGATAAGTCGAAAGTCGTGAACATCAATGAAGACCAAACAATAGCTAGCAAATGAATGCAAATGATTGTTTAACTAGTTAATTTATGTTAATTTGATGTTTATCTCCCTTAAAATTCTATTTGTTGCATCAAAATTGGGTTGTGGACCCTCGGTATCCCTTGGTGATCCGGACGTACGGATCGGTCTGGATCACCTGCGTTTTGGTATGGATCGGGGGTATGGATCGGTCTGCGGTTTTTTTTGGATCATTTGACTCAGCTGTAAAATAGCAGTCAATATAGCTATTGAATTCCCTTGGCCCATAGCCATATTCCAATTTCTAATTCTGTGATATTCTGTGATGCTGTTTTGGTGAGGGGCCTCCAAGACTCCAAGGCCCGCAAATGGCCGCAACATGTTTGTGGCTTTTGACTTTTGACTGGGAGGCAACTGGAATCCAAGGTGGGTCGATGATCCCCTGGCCTAGGCAAACCCCATGGCAGGTCGCACAGCAACTATGGCAGCTATTGAGTCAGCAGAAAAAAAGATGGCTGGTTGAAGTGAGTCGCCCAAAAATGTAATCATCAGGTCGATCGTCCCAACCTCTGCTTAAGAACGATGCTTGGACATCCTTGCAGGTGGGGCAGCAGTCATCTTCGTCAATGTGGCTCTGAAAACACGACGCGCAACGAAGACTTCGGGTGGAATGGTTGCTCTGCGCTGCAACTTTCTCCGGCAACGATGCTGCCAATAGCTGCGCTGGTGTGGAGGCCACATTCTGCAAACTATCTCGGATGGGCTTTCCGAGTGGCTGACCTGTCTTGGACCGGCGCTGCTTGTAGATCTCATGAGCCACATGCATGACATTGGCGCCCTTGGGGTCCATCAAATTGAGAGACAAAGCTGCGCAGGGGAGGGAAGAGAACGAGATATCCAAGGAGATATTCAAGTACTTTCGATCCTGATTTTGATCTATCAGCATCTCATCCTTCGCCTCAGGTGTCAGGAAATATCTCAATTCTGCGAAGAAAAGAGCCAAGACCAAGCAAAGGGAGCCGATGGAAATGTAGCCACCGATCGCGGTCTTCACCTGAAACTCCTGCACGGGCCTTGCAAAGGCATCAAAGGACCTCATGCCAAGCGGGTACGCCTCATGAACCCTCACCTGATCTCAGACCATGCCCCACATGAAACAACGCCATGAAGTGCAGCTTGAGCAAAACAGCGAGAGATAGCCATCCAGGAGAGCCAGGAGCGGCGCGCTGACAAATATATACAAATATGGTAGAAAAGTTGGGAGAAAACCCTAAAGGGAGAACAAAACACAACCAGAGCCCACCTAAAAGTCATGAACTAGCCACATCTGCTTTCACTTTGTTTCACCCTAGCAGCTCAGCAGACTGCTCAGCAGACTGCTCAGCAGTCCTGATTGCTTCGTTCCTCGGTCTCAATCTGTCGAAGTTCCAGGGTGAGTTGACGCTGCGCCTGAAGTGGTGGAACTCAAAGGCTTGTGATAGATGCTAAAGTGGCCAGCTCAATGATAAATCCCAGTGTTTTACAGTTCTTAAATTGATTAAAGGTCGTTGACAAAACAGATGAAAGTAAGTGTGATTTGCCGAGGTGAATTTTTGTGGTTCGTACTGATTCCCTTCGCCGTCGCCCTTCGCCCGCAACAACCCTTCATGCCTCTTGTAGGCGACGTTCCTTCTCAGCCAAATGTGAGGCCATCGCCGAGTCAACCCCGTTTCGCCGTTGCTGCAGGCGCCTTGGCGATTTACTACTCTGGTTCACAGGGATCGCCCGAATTCTGATCATCCCTAATACACAGCTAGCTAGCAGGTAGTATAAACCCCTGCAATTACCAAGCAACAGGGCTATCTTTAATGGTTCAACTGAGCAGGTATCAGTTGGAAATGAATTCAGATAATGTTCTTGGTGGTTTGGAGTCTGCAAACATATACTGTCACCTTTTCAGACTCCCATTCTGCAGGAATGTTGCCACTTTGCCATGGACACAATGGAGGGGAAACATCAGTTTCACTGACACATCATCAGCATCAGTTCCTTAACCATCCATGTTAACCTTAGGCAAACCGGAATCTATGACTATAATATTCTATAATCATTTAAGAACAAGATAGTCATATATAATTATATATACATATGGTACCGTATATCTCTGGAATGATTTCCTTTTCGCATCATTTCTGGATTCCGTCGTTCGGCAGCTGCGCCAAGTGGCTCTTTCAGGCTCTGCAGCTCCGCTGCGAAGGTGTGCTCTGCCTCCTTCTGCCGGTGAACCTTCAGGGGTTGGACAGCCTCTATCTGTTGCCCGATGAGTGTTATAGTATAATCTTGTGGCAACAATCATAATTACTATAATTACTATAATGGTAAAAAAAAAATAATGGTTATACTAATAGTATTAATAGTAATATAACTAATAGTAATTATAGTATAATCTTATGGTATATACTATAATTACTATTAGAACATAGTATCCATTGTATCCAAAAAAAGAATCTGGTGTTGGTATATTCTTGTGGATTACAATTATAGTACCACAAGCTCTGTACTTCTACCATCTTCTACCTCTGTTGGATTATTTTTGTACGAGTACTTTGAGTGGGCATCAGCATGGGGATGCTGGCTTCCTCTCGGGACTTAAGACCAAAGTAGAGGGCGTCATGTGACAACTTTCGACGTGTTCGGTGTAACTACTGTATAGGTTGTGCCATGTTGTGCCTATAGATATTTCAATACATTTTGAGAGGGCCAATTTGAGTTTTCTTACTTAGTCCATAACATTTTTTGTGTTTAAGCATGTTTAAGCTAGCGGGTGGAAAACTGCGCATGTAGTCGCGCCAATTTTTCAATATGGGGTTTGGGTGGGGTAGGGTGGGACAATATTGATTCAAGTTACCTTGCACACTCAAGTGATGCTACACTAGACGCCACTTGTTCGTGCCACTGCTGCTTTGAAATGCGTGCTCAGCACCCACAAAAAAGGTTACAAAAGCATTTGGTAACAGATGGTGCTCCTTGTTACCCCAAACTCACGTCTGAAAACAATTTGGGTCATGAAGCTTGCAATCATAGCAAGCGAATATGTTGTATCAAGAAGGGGGAAAAAATATGGGGCACATTGCTGGTGCACACGGTTGGTATTGATGGAACATGGTGGAAAGTGTCCAAAGGTGCCGTCTCAAGTTCTTGGAGCACCCGCAAACATGGGGCTATTAATCCTCAGTTGCTTCAAGGAATTCGAATTTGGCAAATGGAAATATCACAGGACACGCCCTAAGCAAACGCCTTGAAGGCTGAAGCGGCTATGGCAGAAGTGAAAACTGACCATTACTCCAAACCAAAAACCCTGTAAATACATTTTTTTCCGGGGCTTCCAACAGTTTGTATTCTACATACCGATATGTCTATACTCAAATATCCCTTTTAAAAAATTGGTGAAAGGGGGAAACTAGGACAAGAGAGGTTGGAGGTTGGTTGGGAGGTTGTTATGTTTTTGTTCAATATTGTAAATCTAAATGTTTGACTGTTTCTTTTTGATTATCTGATTATCTTGCTAAATGTTTTGTTGAGGTTGTTGTGATAATGTTTGGTTTGGATGAGGGTAGGTTTTGTTGAGGGTGTTTTGGCAGTTATGGTTTTTAGGTTTATGTTCAATGTTTGTTCCTGATGTTTTTTCTGGGGCTGTTTTTGGGACATTTTAGGTCAAAGTGTTCATGCTTACCTTGTTGATATTTTTTTGCTTGATTTATGTTTTGGTTAGGGTTTGTCTAGGTTGTTGGGGCTATATTCTGAAGCAGTCCTTCTTATGCTCTCCGGTTTCCTTGTCTTGGTTTCCCCAATCACCAACACCTGTGTCAACGCCAAACACATGCATCGTGACCGGAGTTTTTTTTTAGGAGGTTGTTCAATGTGTGTTCCTTGGTTTTGATGATTTACTGGAACATTGTTAGGGGTGGTTTAGGGTCTTAACTTTCACTGTTGATGTTTGGATTGAATGGGGGTAGGATTTGTTTAGGCTGCTGGGGTTTTATGTTTGGATTGAGATTTCATATGCCTAACATTCCAGTTTCATCATCTCCATTTCTCACAACTTTCGGTTTTTCCTTTCCCTTCAGTTTGGTTTGATGCTTGATGCTTTCTTCGTGCCTTTTGACCTGATATTTGTTTATGATACTTCCGCACACGGGACATTCAGTCTTCAATTCATTAGTGTCTTTCTTTTCCTCTGTTGTTTGTTCCTTTCTTCTTTGATGATACTGTAGTATGGCATACTGTCTCAATTTGTCCCTGTTTTTCTCTCTGTATCGTTGCTTTGCTTCTAAACAGTTTTTACACTGCTTACATTCATCTCTGTAATAGTTTAACGGTTGAAAGACTTTACATTTAGAACACTGTTTTTTGTCAGTCATTATACCTCTACAAGTTTAAGGGGTTATGTCTTTAAGGGGTTTTTAGGGTGGATTATTTCATAATATATTTTGTTAAGATATTATGAATTAATCTTTTATGCTTTCCATTCACCTATTCCATCCCACCAGTGTTCAATTACTCTCATTTGTGATAAGCAGGGATTGTTTGTATCGTTTAGTTCATCGATCGCTATTGATAAAAGGGTCATATTAACACTCATACAAAAACACCCACCTCTTCTATTCAATTCTTTTCCGCATTGTATGATTATATCTTTATTGGTGAGGTTTTCATACATTCGTTTGATGATGTCAAGTTGTCTGTGTATATATAAATATTTTAAACCGTTCAGCATTACTTTCACTAACAACTCTATCAAGCACAGATTTCCAAAAATCAAAGTCTTCACGTGGTGGTAAGGGATGACATTTTACAAAGTCTCTAATTTCTTCATTTTTTTTCTATTGTTTTTCTTTCCCAGTCATCGTCCTCGCTTTCACTACCGAAATCAGCATATATACCACTGAATTTTTGTTTTACTCATTTTCTCTTACTATATATAAGCATTTTTCTTTAAGTATTTACCATTTTTTGTAGATACTCTTTTATTTCTTCTACATTAAAATATGTTTCATAACCATTGAAAAAAATTTCAGTGTATTCACGCAAAAATATTTCCAAAATGTTTTTTACCTTAAACTCCCTATTTCTGAATGTATAAGTCCAATCGTTTTGAGGAAACCACCACTCACGCTTGTTTCTACAATACGTCATATATGTAAGGTCGTGAAAGTTTTAAGGAAGTGATAGGTAGTTTCCCACTCCTTTTTCACAAAAGACTTAATCGCCATTAAGAACAGTTTGTCATGTTTGAATTCTTGTGAGTTTGAATGCATCCATTAAACCATCAATTTTTCTTTTCATTTGCCGAGTGTTTGTTCGGTTCGTGTTGGATAAATAAATAGGTGATTTCTCCATCCTTGTTTTAAAGAAATAGATTGTCTTTTCTACTTTCGTCAGTTTTTTATCATTAAAATAGTCAAAATGACAGAAAGTCGTCGTCGTGGTCGTCGTCGTCTGGTTTGTCGTCGTCATTGTGGCTTGAGCCACTGGTTGGGACCAACCAATTAGCCAGGGGTAGATTATGCCCACTTGTTTTCACCCCACCTATTGGGGGTAAAAGTCTTAGTCACAAAGTATTCATAGATAATAGGATGAACGATGACCATAACCATATATAGGTATATATCATACCAGTATATCCTATCAATATCAAATAGAACTATATCATATCCATATATTATAGCCATATATCATACCAATATCATATATATATATGTATCATATCCATATATAACTCCCTCCAAAAAGGCGACCGCTCCACGCTCTGGTTGAAATCATTGCCGAATGTCAGCCTTGGAAGGCTCTTTGGTAATGTCACACTGTGTAGGCTTTGGTTGAAACTGTTGCCTAACGTCAGGGCTATCAAATGATTATCCATAAATATAACCATACAGAATCATCAATAACCTTTAACCATACCCATAGATTATTCATATCTACCTCATTACATCAATAACTACATCTTGACTAATCCATCAGACACTCCACAATTTCGGTGTAAAAAAAAAATGTCAAACGTTAGGTTTTGAAGTCTGCTTGGCAATTTCACATCTTGAACCCTTCTCCACTTCCACGCATTCACTCGGTCTGAAACCACCCCTCAACGAAGATGATGAAGACAATGTCTTCTATGTCTTCTAAACCTTGGCATTGGCAGGATAGAACCCCATTACGCTGGACAAAAAAAACCTCATATCATATGAGGTCGGGCTCATACCTGATGAGGGTAGGCTCATATGAGGATGATGTCATCATCATCCAAAATCCCTACTAAAAATGACTAGAAATGAGGGTTGTCTCATATGAGGATGAGGTCACACTAGATGAGGACGGGCTCACACCTGATGAGGGTTGTCTCATCTCCCATGATGTTGCGCTCATACCCTTGTGAGACTGGGTTCATCCTTGAGGGAATGAGGAAGTGCTCATCAAGGCAAAGGGTCTCACTCATCAAGGTGTCTCGCAAAAGGCCTACATGTTTTTCATGAAGGCTGTCCAAAGGTGCCTGTCTGTGTGATACCGCAATTGGGCAGTGATTGTCTGAACATTACAAAAGCCCCTCAGTGGTTTTACAAGTCAAAGACCTTCTTGACCGCCTTGTGCTGACAGTCAAACTGCAACTCATAGCCACCGCCACGTCGGGGCGTGAAGATGTTGGTCTTGACCATATGCTGGATGAAGGTCTCCTCGGGGTCTGCACCAGTGAAGGTTGCCAACTTGCCGGATGTAGCCGCTCTGATGTCATCAATGTCGATCAGCTCATTCAAGGCCTTCTGGTAAAGTCCCTTGACATTTGTGAAGGGCTGACCGTTGGTCTTTTTGATGGCATATACTCACCCTTGCATCTCCTCGTTGCAAAAGGCTTCCTTGTCTGCTGGTGCTCTCAACCCCCTCAACTTCTCAAAGGTTCTGGGCATGTTGGTGAGCATCTCTTCGCTGATGTTCTCCTGACCCAAGGCCTTGAGGTATGCCTTGGACTTGGAGATGGGCAACTCCCTTCCAAGCATCTTACGAAGGCGAGGCTCAGCATCATCAAGCCCTCGCTGGAGCAGATGAGGGCTGATGACACATGCCTGTCTGCGCAAAGGTATTTGACCTGCTTCACGAAGAACTTCGCATCAAAGTTGGTGGGGAAATGCAGGTTTTCTTTGCCCGTGGTCACCTCAATGATGTTGGAGACATGCGGCTCATCTATTCCGTGCTTTGTCACAGCCACCACGTCAAAGCCGAGGCGAACCGGCTTCTGGGTCTTCTCGGTCACTTTCTCAAAGACCTCGGTCACGACATCCTTGTGGGTCTTTCCCCAATCTACCCTCATGCCATCCAGAAGCCACGGGAGCTTCCAAATGTTTTTGCGGAGCTCATTGTGGATGGCTCGATGCACATCGTCGTGGGAGACCTCCAGGAAAAACGGGTTCTCGGCCTCCCACAGAACATGCTGGAGCGTGGTGGTCTTCCCAGTGGCTTGCATGCCAATGAGAGCCACCATGCCATTCTTGCCAAGACCTCGGTGGATGGCTGGGAGGTCAAAGTTTAGGAACTCCAATTGGAACTCCTCAGGCTTTTTTGGGCGGAAGCGCCCCTTTTGGATGGCACGAGCCATCCGGTCTTGCTCGGTGGCATTCCACGCAATGGCTATGACAGAGCCGCTGACCCCACTACCAAAGATGAGGGGCACACTTTTCTCCCCAATCCATTTCGCCCACGAACCCAGCATCCTTTGGCTGTTGTGGGGTTTTGAGCCCCCAATGTTGCTGGAGAAAACAAAGATGGCACACACGAATGTTCAAAATCAACACCATCACATACCATCACAAAAATAACAACAACATGAGAGCAAGTCTGCACAATGACGCAAGATGACACAAGATGACACAGGACAAGTTCGCACAAGTCCTTTCTCCAAGCATTGGGTGTCCCGACGTGTTGAAAATGAGGGCGTCATAGGGCGTCAGCGAAGAACAGGAAGAACAGGAAGCATAGGAAGGACAACAGAAAAAAGACAAAGGCAGATGGGACACTTGGCAACCCCCTAAAAAAAACTCCAGTCACGATGCATGTGTTTGGCGTTGACACAGGTGCTGGTGATTGGGGAAACCAAGACAAGGAAACCGGAGAGCATAAGAAGGACTGCTTCAGAATATAGCCCGAACAACCTAGACAAACCCTAACCAAAACATAAATCAAGCAAAAAAATATCAACAAGGTAAGCATGAACACTTTGACCTAAAATGTCCCAAAAACAGCCCCAGAAAAAAACATCAGGAACAAACATTGAACATAAACCTAAAAACCATAACTGCCAAAACACCCTCAACAAAACCTACCCTCATCCAAACCAAACATTATCACAACAACCTCAACAAAACATTTAGCAAGATAATCAGATAATCAAAAAGAAACAGTCAAACATTTAGATTTACAATATTGAACAAAAACATAACAACCTCCCAACCAACCTCCAACCTCTCTTGTCCTAGTTTCCCCCTTTCACCATTTTTTTCCCTTCAATTCCTTCATTTTGTCCGGCAAAATCAATACCAAATTTCATGATACAATGTGCACGGCAACACAACGCCAAGCACTTTGTTTTGAAGAACGTGGTCAACTTCTAGCGCGGTTCCCCACCCGCCGGGATGTTTAAGCACGGCCAACGAGGCCTCCTCCTGGTATTCCCGTTTGAGCTCGTCTCGCGTCACAGAGTGCAACTCCATAGCAGCTTCGAGATCTTTGTCTGCCTTGCAAGCCATTACGCTGCACGGTTTAACCTGGTCAAACCTATGTAGAATAAATACTTGTATATTGATGCATAATAGTGTGAAAGAATATAAATATGTGTAAATGCCAGTATAATAACAAAACATATCAAAACATAACACAATATGATATGATCTGATATAGTATAATTTAATATAATATGACATATAAATATGTCTCACCAAGCTGCCGCTGACAACGGAAGCACCCTTTTCATGGGTGCCCCAAAGTTGCTACAGATTGAGGCTCATGTGACCCCAACTCCTGTACAGCCCTATCGCGGCTAAGCTGCTACCCAGGCGACAGGTCAAGACCTTAACACAGCTTTGCTGGTGCCTGGTTCCTCTGCCATTTGCCTCATGAGGCTGGCTTTGGTTGGCTTAAGAGCCTCATTCTTCGCTCGCACCAGCCAACATCAAGCACACCTAACACGGTGGTGACCGGGGCTGGAGGAGGGTGAACCAAAGGCTGCAGCGTTCGACATATTTACGTTGCTGCATTCCGCAAGGCTACACTACGACACCACTTAGTGAAATGTCTCACCAAGCTGCCGCTGACAACGGAAGCACCCTTTTCATGGGTGCCCCAAAGTTGCTACAGATTGAGGCTCATGTGACCCCAACTCCTGTACAGCCCTATCGCGGCTAAGCTGCTACCCAGGCGACAGGTCAAGACCTTAACACAGCTTTGCTGGTGCCTGGTTCCTCTGCCATTTGCCTCATGAGGCTGGCTTTGGTTGGCTTAAGAGCCTCATTCTTCCACCTCCAAAAAAATTTGAAGGCCTCAAGCTCTTCCAAAGTTTGCTCCTTGGCGCAGCCGTACTTTCAACAGCGACCGGGCCCATTTGTTGACCAAGGTGCGCTGTCGGTGACTCCAGCTGACGTGAGCTAGTTGCGCCGTGCCCTCGTCAATGTAAGCCCTGGCTGTTCTGGTACACGACCAGCGTCCACGTGTAACCGTGGCATCCAACGACAGAGAGGATTGAAAATGCCAAGTAGCTCCTCCCCGTCGAAGACAGTACGGAGTGTACGAGTCAGCCTGGAAACCTAGGGCCTCTAACAAAGAGGAGAAAAGAGCCCGAAAGCGGTGAGCCCCTTCATCCCAAAGCAACGAAGCTTTTGAAGGGTTGATGACTGCCTTGGCAAAGGAAATGAGCTTAGCATCTGTCACCAATACCACCTGGGGGTTGCCCTGTGAGGTCTTACTGCCCGGTAGGATCACGCTCATTCCGTTGCCCTGAGGATGGAACACCACATGTTTGTGGGTAAGCCCCAGCATCTCACTGGTTCGCAAAAGGCAGTTGAATCCAATGGCGATAAGCACCGCGAACTGAGGACAGCCCTGGTGCCAAGCAAGGCCCATAAGGCCTTGTACCAGCTCCCAAGAAGCAGGGAGTGCCCGTGCAGGGACATAGCAGCGCTGCCAGTTGCGAAAGTACTGGCTACTCCGAGGCAACTCCAGGCGAAGCTCTGGGTGAAACCGCTTAATAGCTGACAGGAGATGTCCGGCGTAGCTCATCGGCTCGCCCTCCTGATATGAAACATCTATGAATTCTGCAAGTTGGCGATCTAAACTGCGTGGGCTGCGCAAAGACAGTTGCTTGCGCCGTATGTACCGCAGGAAGCGGTCCAATGCCTGGCGGTAGGCTCTCAGGGTGCGTGGATGCAGCCCAGCATATTGCAGGCTACGCTTTCTTCTCATGGAGTCTGCTCGGCTTGTCGGCGAAATTCCACCGACTCACCGTCCACAATGGGAACATGTAGCCATCCATAGCAAGTAAATGGGCTGTGCACCTCCGCAACACCTGATTGAGCCTTTTTGAGCTGCTGCGACCTTTGGCCAGGCATCCGCGGCTGACCATTGAATCCAGCACATGGAGGAAACGGGTGCTGTGATTGTTCTTGAACCTGGCACGCCTCCTCAAAAACACTGCCACAGCATTCAGCTCCAACTCGTTGATATGCCCTTCTTCACGCCAGGGGAAAGCCAAAATGGTCTTCCAATCCCACGCCATCGCCAGGTAGGGTACCTCATGCAAGGTGGACTCTACTCCATTGTCCACCATGGCAAAATGCCGTATATCAGTGCCTCTGTACGTGGCACTCCTCAGCAAACTCCTGAGGTGATCTCTCTCCTGCCCCTGCACCATGGCTGCCTCCTCTCTGGCCAAAATGGCCGCCACGGCCGGAGCCACTGTTGCGTCCTTGAGCCTTTCAGTCGTGAGCTCCAACTCGCTTTTGTAGTGCCGCTCCCTCTCGGTCAGCACCATCTTCTCAAAGATTCCATCTTTGTCAACCTGCTCCCTGAGAGCGTTGGCATAGGCCTGGCAAAGTGGCCATGGATATTCGGCTTCCTCCTCAGTGGCAAAGCTCATCGTTCCATCCGGATTCTCTGTCACCTCGTAGCCAAGCAAGTCTTGATGGCCCGGACACTCCTTGTGGAGGTAAAGCTTCAATGTTGGCAAGTTTCCGAAGAACGAAAACCATTTCTCTCTTTTGCCACCGAAGCAGCACGAAGAGCCCACTGCATGGTCATAGCCATCGAGCTGTTCGAGTTCCTTCATCAGAGTAAAGTACCACATCCAAGACCTGTAAGGATGCTCGACTGTCAGGTACTTGTTTGGGCGCTGCTGGTCTGCTCCTCTGCGAAGCGCCTTCAGTACCATATTGTTTGACCTTCTGACCTTGCTCTTCATCTCATTTGACAGCCAGGGGAACCCCATTAGGTGATGTTGGTCACGCACGGGCTGAGGTCCCGCAATGCGCCTGCCACTCTCCAACGTGATGGGCTTGCCTCTGGCGCGGGAGAAGAGCTCGCACTCCGGTGCCCAGTGCTCAGCCACCAACTCCTCCTGTTCCATGAGGGTTTTGAGCTCTTGGCGCCCTTGCTCGGAGAAAAAGTCCTGGCCAAAATGGAGGTCATACGGTGGTTGGACCTCTACATGTCCACGCATGGCCACGGCGTGGCTCAGCGGTGCCCGCGGCCCCGAGAATCTTTCACCAAACTTGGGGGGCCTCCATGCCCGCCTTGGGCATTCCCGCGACTGCTCATGGCCAATGTCCCTGTGCTGCAAAACGCACGCAAGGTTGCAAAACGTAGCCCCGCACTCCGCTGGACAGGGATACCTCTCATCCGGTTCAATCACTGTACCACATTCCAAACATCTGTGGCCATCATGCTCCATGGTTAGCGGTGCCCTCCTGAAGGCCCTTGCAACTGCAGCTCCTCCGCCGCTGGGTGACGCGTCACTGACTGATATCTCATCGTCCAGCCTTGCTCTGAGGTTCGTCACCATAAATGGCACAAGAGCAGTCACCAGTAGGACCTCATCTACTAATGAAGTAAGCGGCCGCTCCCTTGACTGAGACTGCATCAGTGACTGGATCTCATCAAAAACACCTTGAAAAACTGAGAAGAGCAGCCTCCGAAAACACATGCCAAATGTGGCCTTGCCCACAAAGTGCCTCAGCATCCACTCGGTCCACTCGTCAGATCCAAGCAAACCTCCTCCCAGGGCGAGGATGCTAGCCATCTTGTCTGGGGCCAAACCATAGCGTCCCTTACGACCATCGAACTCACCACCCTGCAACGCTCCTCGGGTGGCGGTGACCAGTCTTTTGCCCTCATTCAACGGGAGTCCTTTTGCCTTGCACACGTCCAGAAACCTCTGGTGTCGTTCAGACGGTATGCCTGACAGGACTTCCTGGCACCTCTTGTCCATCCTCCTCAACTGGTCATAAGAATCCAGGTAAATCACAGTGAGGTCACCGGTGTCAGGAATTTCACGCGTTTTGGCCACCTCAGACTCAACGGGGATCTCCGCCTCCTTGAAGACGAGGGTCCTCACCACTGACTGCACCACCGCAACCGATGAGATCCAACCCATTGGCAGCACGCACATGCTGGGGTAGACCATCTCGTCAGCCGGCCCATTGAAGGCCTTGGCACTCACCAGCTTTCCAAAGGCCATGTATCGCCGCCACACTGGCGGCAGCTTGAACAGGTTGAAACAGCTTGTAAAATCTTCGGAGTCGAGTGCCCATACTTCATCCTCACCTTGTTCAAGAAGGGTGATTTGGCCCAGGTACGGTAGAAGTATGTCATCACCATCTAGCCGTTTTTGAAAGGCATTTGAGGGTACCAGGTTACTGATGAACCTCTGCACCTTCTTCGCCCGGCCGTCCACCTTCTTGATCTTCTGAACGCTTCCAGCACCGTTCAACACGGGTGACCCCTTGGCATCCACGAACACCTCTGACGGGGAGACCGGCGCCATGAGCCCTCTTGCATAGGCAGCCGCAACTACCTTTTCCCACTCCTCATCGCTGGCCCTCACCTTTGAAACTGGAGTTCGGTCAGGCCATTCATGGAGCGGAAGAAGGCAAGCTCGAGGGTCAAGCAGGCTGGCCTTCAGCTCTGGCGGCACAAAATCCACTGCCTCTTGGACTGCCGCCTCCCCCACAGCTGGCCATGCCTCAACAACCAGCTCAGCGTCGATGTCCTCCATGACAACTATCGGTTCACCATCATAGCCAAACCGCGCCGTAGCCAAGGGTGCCATTGCCTCATCAAAACAAGCCACCTTCTCTCCTGACTCCTCCAGGTGTTCAAGCAGGGCGCAGCAGTTGTCCACCACGCGCTCTTGCGCCTGGGTCAAGGGCCGTGCATTGAGCTTTTCAGGCACTGGCGCGTGTCCCCCACACAGGGCCAGGTAGTTGACAGCGTTGATCATCCCATTGACACCGTCTGCGATAGCCGCACCCTTGTCCAGCAGGTAGGTCGCCACCTCCTTTGGGTCAATCGGTAGCAGGTCATCTCCACGGATTGAACTTGATGCATCAGCACCGAGGGGCACCCAATCCTGAGAAAGTACCCGTGCGAAGTGACCTAGCTTCGTTGGAAGTGACTTCACCTGTGACCACATCCCTGCCAAGTACTGTGCGGGAGTCCGGCTCTTTCCCATCCAACGCCGCCAAGAGGATGTCCACGCTGCCATTTCATCATTCAGGAGGTTCAGGCCGTCCCCTCCTTCGGTTTCTCCTTTGCGCCGCCTTTGCCCTTTCCTTTTTCTTTCCCTTTCCTTCCTCCTTTTTCTCGATCTCCCTTTAGATCTCCTTTTGGAGGCTTTCTCCACTGGTCCATGTTCTTCAACTTCATCTCGAGGAGGTACTCCCGGTTCGTGTACACTTCCTCGTCCCTCTCCAATAGGCCCGCAGACTCCGGGCTCAGAAGCTCCAGAAATTGAGCGGAGCCCCAGTGGGCCTCTGTGGTGGCTTTCTCCAGCGCCTTTAGGCGCTGGGTGAGAAGATCTGCAGCCTGAGCTGGCCGATGTAAGGCCAAATGGTCGAGCGCCGTGCAAATGGTTCTCATCTCTCGCAGGGACCTCAGGTTGAGCTGATTGCCGAGCTTTGGAACCATGACAGTCAGCAGGTAGTGAACTGCTGCGGGTGGGGTGAGCCCCACTTGCTCCGGATCCGCCCCCACGGCTCCTCGGGCGCCTTCCTGTTGCATCTTCAACAGCATGCGAGATGCTAGGCGACCCGGCTTGTTCTTCGCGTACCGCACCAACTGGAGTTGGGTGGCTGCCCTGCGGTCCGCGGGGGCGTCCCGAAAAGACTCACTCTCACTTTCAGTGGTCTCCCGGAACTTGACTATCTCACCACCACCGAAAGGTCCACGGTCACGATGCCCTTTACGACGGCCTTCTTCAGCTCCATGACGTTTGCCACCAAAGAGCTCCTCTCTGTCCGAGCTGGAAGTGCCCGGACCGTCTGACGAGGACCGTCTTGTTTTCTTGGCTTTGCGCGGTGACCGTGAATCCTCAGTCCGATCTCTTCTCTTTTTGCCTGACCCAGTGGCTCGGGCCCTCTTCTTTTTCTTCGTTCTCCTTTCTCCACTTGTTGTGGGTGACCTCCTTCTACCACGTTCCTTTTTCTTTGTGGTTCCTTCAGCGTCTCCTCCCTTTTTCTTACGCCTCTTGGCCTCCTTGCCCTTCTGCATCCTCTTCTCAATTGCGCGCACTGCATCACGCGCTTCCTCCAGCTTCTTTTTCAAGTCATGGCTTTCTGAGGCCTCTGTCTCCTGGCTGGCCTCCTGTTCAGCGTCTTCTCCCGGGTGGACCCAGGGTAACACCTCACTCTTTGGCTCAGCTTGTAGGTCGAAGCCCTTCTCCTTGAAGTACGCCTTCATGTTTGGATTGCAGTTTCGTCCAAATGCCCATGACGGCACCTTCGCCTTGAACTCCTTGGTACCCAAGGGGCGGAATCTCTCGATATGGATGCCCTTCTTCGACTTGAGCTCCAAACACTCAGTGGCAGGCCCATCGCAGAAGTGGTACTTGCAGTCCTTAGCCAGCTTCTTCCCGTCGCCCTCTGCAAACCACCAACGCAGATGCCCGTCACTGGCTACGATGTAGCGTCCACGTATCCAATGCCCTTTCGCATCGGTAGACAGCGGTTCAAGCACCTCTACCAGCAGGGTTCCTTGAGGCAGTCCAGCATCATCGCGAACTGCCCCTTCCAACACCTCACCCTGCCGGAAGCGATGCTTGAACCACTTCTCTCTATTCTCTCCCCCGGCCAACCACATCCCGCTGGCCGGGGGGGTAAGTTGCCCTTGAACCAAAGGCTGCAGCGTTCGACATATTTACGTTGCTGCATTCCGCAAGGCTACACTACGACACCACTTAGTGAAATATTATATAATATTATAATATACTGTAACACAATAGGTGTGCGTGTCCTGCTTACATATATGCGGTATATCGGTATATCAAATGATGATGATGATGATGATGATGATGATGATGACGATGATGATGATGATGATGATGACGACGACGACGATGACGATGGCGCGGACAGCCTCATATAGTCCCCATATAGTCCGGTGACGTCTCAGGACCGCCCCAAAAAATCTACATCTGCCCTGTTCCACTCGTCTTCGACCCCGGATGCAGCCTGCGCTGTCGCGCTCTCGCGATTCAAACGGTAGGCTTCAGGATCCAGAAGGGCCACAGTGGCCGAGGTTGTCCCTGCGGACCCCGTCCTTAGCATCCGGTAGGAGTCACGCCACACCACCTTTTTCTGTGTTGCAAATGCTAAGGACAATCAACTCTTCCTTGGGATCAGGCTGGGGGGGCTGATGAAGTGCAGTGAGGCGCCAGGGGGCTGCAGCACTCTTGGCCAGAAAACTTTCAAGTTCCTTGGCCTGCTCGAATCACAACATGTCACGCAGCCTGTGAAGCATACCTTTTTTCATGGCTAAGCCCAGGCCACCTGCGCTAGATATCCCGTGGGGATCAATATGGATCAATGGTGAATGTGAAGCCGGTGAAACTCTGTCCCATCCTGCCTTTTGGTACCTCGATCATCGCCGCAAAATCACAATTGACCGGTGACTGGGAAGTTCAAGATTGCACAACATCATGGGCCATTGGGCAGCTAATAATCCCTTCCCCCGAATATTAAACACCCCCCGACACCATAGCTTAGTAGGAGACTAGGGGAGTCCCACATATTTTGGAGGGTGTTTAGTTAAGGGGCCGGGATAGGATTATTGTGAGAACCCAGCTAAATTCAGCGCGGCTCCCCAAGGCTCTGGTGGGCCAAGGTACCTCTTGGGTTGCTGTTTCCCCAGCAACTCCAGGTGAGAGAGTTGAGCGAGCCTTAGCGAAACATTCTGAGGCTCCAGTACCAGTTTCCCTAAGCAGAATCAACTGAAATCAATGTATACAATTTATAGTCAAGCAAACAGGTCATTAGTGGCTTCGGCTGAAAATCGTCCCAAAATCTCACCATAGATTTCCATGAAAAATCATGTGCCAGGGGGGTACCCCCTACTAATTATTTCGGGGTGAACCAAATCGCAAGTGTGTTAGTTCATGTTAGTTCACCCACTCCACTCCAGATTTAAGTGGACAAAATCTTAGATCTTTTCCAGACTGCAGTAACTGGGCTGAACTAACCCACTTACGATTCCTGGGATGAACTAGCCCAAGTACGAGTATGCCATTGTCATCGCCCCGGAACCAACAACCTTGGGCCCCCTTCAGCGCAGCAACGCGCGGCAGGCCCGGAAGACCTCCGTGGCAGCTTCATCGCGCATGTCTTCCAAGCGCTGACCCTCCTGAACTGCCTGCACCATGGATTGATGTTGGGACTTGTCAATGATGTAAGATGATTGTGAGCTTTGAATAGGTTTGATATGATTGATGCAAGAAATCCATAGAAATCTGTGATCTGAATTAAGATGGACTTTTTTTTAACAGGAAACCATGTTCTTGCTGAGTTGTTGTTGATGCTTACTGCATCGGTAAGATTTTCTGCACCCGGATGGCGGTTCCTGTAACGTGTCCCTTCATCCAAAACTGGGAGCAAGGTTGGCACTGGCAATGTGCTTATACTGACGCTGCACCGTGAAAAACGTGCTATGGTACAGCTGTTCCACCAGCCCAAAGATTTCCCCGGAAGCTCCGCCTCCCTAAGCACATGTTTGGCAACGTTTAGATTGGCAGAAAGTAGCTGGTCCTCGCAAAAGGCATGTCAAATGTCGAGATATGTCATGGCCACAGATGGAGGTGTTGCAAACCACCGACTCCTCCGTAAGAAGTCTTTCTTTGGCCTTCTCCGCATGTACAGCACGCTGCTTCATAGCCTTCAAGGCCGAAGGTCTATGAATGTCTCATGACCTTCATCCATCTTCATCCCTCCCTTGAAGTGACAGGAGCCTGCTCCACCGCCTGCAAACGGGAAGACCTTCGGCTAAACATGGGAGCCAGATGGGAGCCAGGTGCTCTTGTTTTCTCAGCACTGCCACTTAGAGACTTAGATCACTCAAGAATCTTAGTGCTACGAGCAGTCGGTTTCGTCACCCAATACGTGGAAGGTTGAATCTGCGGCCTGGATTGAGCTTCTGCATCCTGGATCAATCATGAAATGAAATGAATGGACAATGATGGAAGCAAAACTCTGAAAGACCTGGTGTTATACCATTCTTGCACCATTGCACAACTGCACTGTACTCCTGGTCCCCTTGAGGATGAAGACTTGGGGCCTTCCTTGGCAGCTTCGGCTGTGGCAACATCCGGTCATTGCCTCATGAGGCCTTCATGCAGTTCAGTTGCGAGGGCATGCGACGGAGGATCTCATTGATGCTTCGCTTCAACATCAAAACTTCAGGCTGTAAGGTTTCGCCTTAAGTGATGCGGAGACATGTCTTGAGTCACAGCGAAAACCCGGTCGACCACCTTGAAATTCGGCATGTTTGGTGAAGTCCAAACAGTTGACGTTTTTTGACTTTTGATCTTTTGATCCAAAGAAACAGCTAGTGAGCACACCTGGGATCCCCAGTTTTACGGTCAAAGTTCCCGCTTTTTGACCAATGGTCGGCACCTGCCGCAAGCTGCGATCGGGGCGTGGCGTTGGGCCAAGAAACACTTCTCTTCTGCTCGTCGACGATCTTCTAAGGCCTGGATGTTTCATATGTTTCATGGAAATGTGGGTATAAAACCAATCATTCATGGTGATACAATGGGATATGCTGGGACATCATGGGATATGATTGAATATGTTGTACTGTTGTACTCAACAATAAGGATATCCCCGTATGGTGCTGCGCTCAGACTGGGTCCATGGTTTTTATCGCAGGATTTGGGTTGAAAACCTTATGGTTTGACGTTTTTTGGCAGAGTTGAGAACCTTGACCCAACCGACCCCCTCAAAGTTGCCACACCACTAGCCCAGGCATTGTGCAAGGGGATGAAAACCTATGACCATGAGGTTACAACATATAATCAGACTGAATTCTGGCAAAAGATGAAATCCTTTGCCCCTGAGGTTCAACATCTGATCATGCTGAAATCCAGGCAAAAAATGAAACCCACAGTGTTCAAGGTGCAACATTTGTTAATATATCCCCGTTGGGTGTTCAACTTAGGATGCAGCACCAGGTTTTCATCCCAAACACCTAGTTTAAAAACCTGGAGGGCCAAGGTATGAGAAAAAAAAGTGAAACGATGAAAAGCCGACCCCACCCCTATTTCTGAAAATGAAAAATCAAGGTACAAAAAATTAAACTCGGTGTGTCTGGAGTATGTTGAAAATTGAAAATAAAAATGGCACAAGAGATGATAGAGATGAAAACAGCAGTGCTCAGCGTATGTTCAAAAAAACCTTAAATTGTAAAATCAAAACTTCCCCAGAGAACGGTCAACCACACCCTTTTCATCCCACCCAGCTTCTGTTTTGAACTTTGCCGGAACAGCTCTCCATATTACACCACGCATGTGAGCCAACCCATCCTGAACCAACGTCCCAAGACACATTACAAACTTCAATCCGAAAAATTTCATCTCACACATCCCTGTTTCGAACTTTGCCTCAACAACTCTTAACAGATGACACCACGCATGTGTGCCAACCCTGAACCAATGTGGCAAAGACACACCACAAAACCTCAGACCCTAAGATTTTCATCTCACACATCCCTGTTTTGAACTTTGCCGGAGCAGCTCTCCATATTACACCACGCATGTGCGCCAACCCATCCTGAACCAACGTCCCAAGACACACTACAAACTTCAATCCGAAAATTTTCATCTCACACATCCCTGTTTCGAACTTTGCCCGAACAACTCTTAACAGATGACACCACGCATGGTGCCAACCCTGAACCAATATTGCAAAGACACACAACCTCAGACCCTAAGATTTTCATCTCACACATCCCTGTTTTGAACTTTGCCGGAGCAGCTCTCCATATTACACCACGCATGTGAGCCAACCCATCCTGAACCAACGTCCCAAGACACACTACAAACTTCAATCCGAAAATTTCATCTCACACATCCCTGTTTCGAACTTTGCCTGAACAACTCTTAACAGATGACACCACGCATGTGTGCCAACCCATCCTGAACCAATGTTGCAAAGACACACCACAAAACCTCAGACCCTAAGATTTTCATCTCACACATCCCTGTTTTGAACTTTGCCGGAGCAGCTCTCCACATTTCACCACGCATGTGAGCCAACCCATCCTGAACCAACGCCCCAAGACACACTACAAACTTCAATCCGAAAATTTTCATCTCACACATCCCTGTTTCGAACTTTGCCTGAACAACTCTTAACAGATGACGCCACGCATGTGTGCCAACCCATCCTGAACCAATGTTGCAAAGACACACCACAAAACCTCAGACCCTAAGATTTTCATCTCACACATCCCTGTTTCGAACTTTGCCTGATCAACTCGGAACAGATGACACCACGCATGTGTGCCAACCCTGAACCAATGTTGCAAAGACACACCACAAAACCTCAGACCCCAAGATTTTCATCTCACACATCCCTGTTTCGAACTTTGCCTGAACAACTCGGAACAGATGACACCACACATGTGAGCCAACCCATCCTGTACCAACGTCCCAAGATACAACATAAACGACTAATGACTCAATTTTGCAAACCCATCCTCATCCAACCTCCCAAGATACACCTCTCAAAATTTCAATGTTCACCGTATAGGCGTCAAAAATGTCGAGCCTTGCAAGAAGACACGGTCGAATGAAAACCTGTGTGCAACCTTCAGGCCAAAAATGGTTCCCAGTACGCTTCAGTGGTTGAAACTACCTGCGCCCAACCTATTGCAAAAATGCTCTCAAGAGGTGTTCCCCTGGATGAAATCCTTTGGCTTCATGGTGAATTTTCAAAATTCTAAAATATGTAAAAAGGGACCAAACATTCTTGGGGCTAAATTTGGCTAAAATGGGGTTAAATTTTGAGGCTCCAGCTCACCCTTTTCATCCAGGAGCCCCAAACGGGGATGTTAATATGCAAACCAATGGTGACTACGAGGTGCTCAAGCATTCATTTCCTATGCTGGCTTCTTAGTGATTTATGTGATTTGAGATGATGATCGAATTCCAATGAAAACCAAGGATCAAGGTTTGTACATGCAGCAATCAAATAGAAAATGAAAACCTAGAGCTGAGATTACACCATTAGTTTGGTGGAAACCTGTGACATTGAATGAAAACCTAGGGCCCAACATACATACTACATCATCAGCCTACACACCCCTTTGGGATGAAAACTTGAAGCCCCAGGGTATCTACAGACTTAAATTCTGAACCACTGCCATGGGATGAAAACCTATTTCAAAAGAAGATCCAAGGTATGAAACTGGGATGAATTTTCGGGATGAATTGGTGGTTTTATAGGGTCCAGCCTATGAGACTAATCCTTCAGCACCGAACGGGGATAAGGATGCAGGTTTGTCCAGAGATGGGATTGGGCTCTCCATTTTCTGGCCGAATGGGGAAACTGATCCTTAGCAATGGGATTAAATAAGGTACCCTATTCTCAGACAAACCCACATGCTCAAAATTGTCAAATTTTTCCAGATTTTCGAGTGAAACAAAATGTTGCTACATCTTATCCCCAACCGTGAATTCCGGTCCTTCGCAGCAATTCCTGTGATACAACCCTTTGTTTTAGAATGGTTTAGAGTCTTTAGATGTCCTTTAGAGCATGCATATTGCTTGAACAAATCAAATGGAGCAATCAGTGGAGCGATTTGTTTCAGCTGCGGCCTGACTGTGCAACTTCAGCAATGCCTGACAAAGTCCAATAAATTCTACGAAAATCTCTGCCTGAAGAATCTTATCAATCTTACCTAAAAGATCCTAAAAGCGAAAAGTCGAGTCCGCACCTGCAAACGATCATCGACTGTCCACGAGGTGGAGATCTGCCAGAGCTGGAAAGACACCACGGATTAGGGTTTCGGCGGTGCCAGTGTTTCCAATACTTTAAACTGCAATGTTTTTCCAAATGTTCATTTGATTCACGCGGATAAGCACACAAGTTTATCTATATGCTAAACAATGCACAAGATAATGTCTTATAGTGTACATATATGTTCATGTATAATATATTTATAAATATATAAGTATACAATTATATATAAGTATATATATACACGCATATATATAAGTATATATAAATATATGAAGGTATATATAGCTAAATATGAGTGTATATAATTACAAATAAGTATATATGATTAAAAATAAGTAGTCATAGTTATATATAAGTAAATATACGTAGTTATATATTATAAGTGCATATAATTATATATATATATCATGTGTTTGTGTGTGTGCTTATGGTTCAAAACGATTTACCAAAATGATTTTGGGATGCATTTTGAATCGTTTTGATGTTTACCAATCCAACGAATTTGCCATTAAAATTTGATAGGAAGGTAAGCGCATCAAAAAAATATATTTAAAAAATATCAATTACTTTACTTCGTGTGATCCCCACCATGACATTTATCGATTTGTTACTGGCAAATCTTCTGGCATTCTATCTGACATATCTTCTGGCATTCGATCTGGCATTCTATCTGATATCTTCTGGCATATGTTCTGGCATATCTTGTGGCATTCTATCTGGCATTCTATCTGGCATATCTTCTGGCATATCTTCCGGCATTCTATCTGGCAAATCTTCTGGCATTCTATCTGGCAAACATTCTGGCACTTTATCTGGCATACCTTCTGGCATTCTATCTGACATTCTATCTGGCATACCTTCTGGCATACCTTCTGGCATTCTATCTGGCATATGTTCTGGCATATCTTCTGGCATTCTATCTGGCATTCTATCCTTCAATTTTGAAACACCCCTTAAAGGTTCCAAATATGAGTAAATCCGATACTTAACCATGGATTCTTCGGCTGTTTAATGCATTTTCATATTGGATTCTTAGTGGGATGGGATTGCTTCGGCACCTCCAAGTCGTCCTGCAGAGCCCGGCGTACGGCATACAAGCGCTCAAGATTCTCGATGCTGATCTCAGCACCGGAAATGGTGAAATGATGCAGCACACCATGGTTTTAACATGTGGCCCCTTGGTTTGCCCCCAGTGATCCTGCTTATTTGTTCGAAATTCTACGTACTGCAGGAAATCCGAACTTTGCACCCTCAGACCCTAAAATCTCAAGAACTCCAATGCAAAAACTCTAAAGCTAAAACTCTAAAACCAAGCCTAAATGAACAAAAAACAAACAGAACACGCGGTTTTCCCAGGGAAATAAGCTTGACGAGATGTGGACATCCTTCCTCTTTGTATAGCCTTGAAGTAAGCAAATTCTTGGATTGAGGGGATTGCATTAATGAATGGGGGTCAGAAAACAAACTCTATGATGTATTCTTTGGGCATATATATCCCCCTTAATGTTCGTAAAGCAACAATGAACCACCCATACGTTGATGGTTGGAATCCCACCCATTTGTGGTAATTTTAGACATGATTTACCATTGTTTTAATGTGGTAAGCCCAATGCCATAAACAATCCCCAAGTCATCACCATTTGAAAAAATGGGTGCTATGTTTCCCATCCATCATATCCCCAGACATGGTAGGTTTATGACGTTTATGGCAGGGTGGCCCATTACATCAAATTATATACATCAAATTACCCTCTGGTAAACTAACATAACTATGGAAAATAACCATGTTTAATTTGCAAATCAACTATAACTATAAACGGCCATGTTCAATAGCGTTTTGTATGTTTACCAGCGGGTACTATCCCCATGACATGGCTGGTTCTACATGGCTGGCTACGGCTGATCTTCGTCGTCCCAGGGACGTCCGAAGAGACGCAGGACAGAGATCTCTGCGCATGGGCCAGGTGCCATAGAGCCTGACCTGGCCACGGGCTGAGCAACGCTGAAAATCGTTTTTGAAGCATCAGAGAATTGCCATGAACATATCCATGAATATCCATGAACATATCCGTGAGTTGCCATGAAAATATCAGAAGTTATAACCAGTAACAGCCAATAACTGATTTAGGCCAAAAAAACAAGATGTTATAACTTATAACGCATATCATACGGTTCCCATAAGCGTTGGTCACCTGGCAGTTGCGGTTTAACCGGATCATCCCACTAGATCAGTTTCACAACGGAAGCCGAGCCTGCCGGCAGCTAGTAAATGGATAGTAGCTGCAATCTGATTGAATCTATTGAAATTGAGATTTTCCCTGTCACAAAAAGTAGCCAGTTTCTCTCTATATGCATATAGATCATAGGCTGTATGATAGTGTCATATCATATCATAATGTATATACATATCATAATGAACATAGTGTATATACTATGTATAACACTATCTATACATATCATATCATAACATATCATGATGTTGTTTTTCTTTTATGTATGTATACATTGCTGCTGGGGTCCCCAGGCGAAGTTCTTCACCGTGTGTGACCTGCCAGGGGGGCGGCCCTTTTGTCGATCTGGCCATTGGGTGTTTATGATATTTATAAACTGATATGATCTTATATGTAGAATGAGGTAAACCAGTCCTGAATAGGAAATTATGGGATACTATGGGATATTGATGGATGCTGTAAATATGGCATTTTGTCAATACTATTATGGTTTAAATATGGAATAAAACGGATAAGCATCAGAAAACACTCCCCAATTTGGAGCTTATGGAAATGCCATCATTTTAGGATATTTTAGGTTTGGTTGCTGGGATGGTCTGATGGGTTTGCCAAATAATGATCGCAACGTTGCTCGCATCTGTTGCTTTTCTTCTTATTCATCTTAGTCCTTGATTTGAACATCTATTACCCTCCGGAAATTTAACATAACTATGGAAAATCACCATTATATCACCATTTTTCATGGGAAAATTCACTATAAATATTGATTTTCCATAGTTATGTTAAATTACCAGAGGGTACTGTAGTTGTGGCCACAAATTCACGGTCTACTGAGAGTCACCATGCCTCTGGCGCATCAGCTTCCGGAGCCTCGTCCAACTGGAAGCGAGCACCTGGCGGTGTCACGGTGGATTTGTCTGAAAATGGGACGATATCCTCCAAATTTGATGGTTTAAATATCAGCTGATCTTCGCCATTTTCCAGTCATTTTCCCTATTCAGAAGGGCCATTTGAGGGTACCCACGGTACCTAAGACCAAGATCGACCAAGTCACCCGGAGATGTTGGAGACTCTGAACTGAACTCCAGGTCATCCATTTCCACTGGGGATCCTTGAAATGGCTCCAGGTCTTCCAATCCCTCGTCCTCGTTGGCTTCATGGAAGGCTTCCCCTGAGTCAGCCGAATGATGCTGAATGCTGACCAAATCTATTGCATGCCTCCCTAAATGGAACTAAGCACTGTATAGTATTCTATATATATATGTGTGTATAATATTATGTGTATATATAATACACACACATATATATATATATATATATAATTATATATATATATTATATGTGTGTATATACTAGACATGGATTTCCCTGCCCTTTCCGGGCAAGCTTCCCTTTCTACAGACCATCACCTGCCACATCCCCAGCTGGCACCTGGAGCTTGCATCCTATGGCAACGGCCAGAGGTAGGGCACTGGATTGGTTGAACCCTGGTACCCCTGGTGAACCCCAAGTCATAGCTGGGATTTATGGATGTGAATAACCCACTAAAAATGGCATTTTCATAGGTATTGATCCTGACTACATATGAACTCTTGACCCAGAAGTCCATGTCGATTGTATCGTATCAAACTACCACAAAACCGGTTGGGAAACCGCTTCACATTCCACCAAGAAACTCTGATTCCTCTTGCTCTTCAATCAACACCATGGCTTGACCGAGGGATCCGAAGCCCTGGTGGTCACCACATGTTCCTGGTTGACACTAAGACCTCCATGGATCCTGGGACCGGTCTTCGATCCTGGACCTTGGAGCCTTGACGACATAAGCTTGATGCATTTCTATATGGGGATGGGTCAAAACCCTGTACCCCTGGTGAACCCCAAGTCATAGCTGGGATTTATGGATGTTCATCCCACTAAAAATGTGTCTATAGGTATTGACCCATACCCATATATTTCTATGTTCTATGCATTTCTCGTGCTCTAATCAATGCTCTTTGGAAATCTGTGGAAATGCTGTGCGCTGAGTCTTCGCAAGTTCAAACGGTCGGATGCCGGTTTCAGCCACCTCCCAGGCCCAGCTAGGCTCTCCACAGCAAGGTCCAATTCTTCGAAAGAAATCATGCCGCTTCCGTCCCAGTCGGTCTGGTCAGCCAAGGAAATTCATTTCACATGCCCAAAGTCTCCCAGGATTGAAATATTTGAGATGATCCTCTACTTTCCCCGTGGCAATCAAATATGACAATCCTAGAGCCTAGAGCTCCCAAAACCTCTGAAATGGTCGGTCCATTTTGAAAGTACCGCTTTTACGTACTCTTTATCAAAACAAAGTTTCCCCTGCACAAACCCCGTCTTTTTCCAATAAACCTTCATTTTATGTGTGCACTTGCCTTGCCAAGTGTGTGAGGTCATATTATATTGATTTGCTTAGTTTGCAGACACAGCCACTGACGATGAAATGAAGTGAAAATCAAAGATCAAGACTAATTAACAAGTAACCAACCCCTGCCAGCTAATATCAATAAAAGGGCAGGATCAGGCCTCAGGTTTGCGTAGAAAGCAGCTGCTAGTAGAACTTGAAAACCAATGTGGATTCGAACTTTGAATCTTCGAGTGGGAAAATGCAGTCGATTAATTATTGCTATTGAGCCCTTTTTGTTTCGAATCGAAGCTGGGAGATGAGCCGCAATAACCCGTAAAAATTATGGTTCTTGGGGTCTGGCCCGCAGGCTGCCATAGGGTTTTTAGGCCCACTGATGGTCTTTGCGCGGATAAATTTCATGAGAAAACGGGTCGCTTGCTCATCGTGAAATATTTATTTGCGAATACACAATTCAAGTTGTTGTGTATCCTCCTGGTATGCAAAAATTGACATTGTATGACATTGTTTGTCGGAGCATTTTCGTCGAAAGAAAGTTGCAGGGCATGCATTTGAGATGTAGGAATAGTTTCCCAACAAAGTCTCTAGCCCGGCACGACACAAGACCACTGGCAGCATGCTGATAACTACATTTTTGAGCATCAAAGGCAAGACTTTATGGGAAAGCGCACTAATGGAAAATTGGGAAACTCAAAAAAAACGGGTTTTTGGATAAAACCCCATCTTTTTCCGATGTACCCGCCTTTTTAGCGGTTTCGGGTTCCCTTGCTTTTTCAAAGTCCGCCCGTTTTTAGATGATTTTTCGATTCAAACCTCCATGCACCGGGTAGGGGATTTCGAATGTTTGACTACAGGAGGGTACCCTCTGGTAATTTAACGTAGCTATTGAAAATGACCATTAATAGTGGATTTTCCCATTAAAAATGGTGATTTTCAATAGCTATGTTAGTTTACCAGAGGGTATCTTTAGTTTGGTGCCCAATGGTGCGTCCCGCGATTTGGCGCAGCGCGTACCTCTGCGAAGAATTGCGACCAGCTGGCACCGCCATCGCGAGCACCCTTCCGTTGCACATAGGCATGTCCATTGCAATGAGGTAAAGCCCAAAATAAATTGTCCCCAATTAGGGTCTATTATTGGCCATACCCTATTTCGGATTTTTTTGATGATTAAAAAAGACCCCTAATGGTTGGTCCCTGGGATGGTTTACCATTGGGTTTACCACATTAATTACTAAACAAAGCATCTAAAGATCACTGTATGCGGTCTTTGTTTATCTTGAGCACAGATTAGCATCATCTACGCACAAAAATGGTAAAACAATGTAAAAAAGTAGTTCCCGTTCTTGGGAGTAATTCTGAGTAAATGTCAAAAAAAACAAATGAATGGTGAAGAGGCGGGACAATACATTGGTTTGGTATGGTTTGGTAAGCTTGCGCAAGATCAAAGAGGCACAACAGCTCCTAACCTCTGGCAATGATTTGAACGAGCGTTTGGTAGAGCTTTGAACCTCAAACATAAAACCCTAACAATCTCAACAAATCCTACCCTCTTCCAATCCAAAATATTTCAAACATCGAGACACCTCACATTGGCATCAAAATCTCCCGAGAAACCCTCACACACAAAACATTCAAAACCAAGGATGAAACATTGTACATCAACATAGAATCATAACAAGCAAAATACACATATATTATATATAATTATATATATATATACACACACTCCCCCGAAACCCTGGAGTTTTACAGATTTGACGTGCAGTTTATGCGTGTACCTGGGAAAACCGATATAATCATGTTGCTCCAAGGATAGAAAACGCATGTCCAATTGGGCATGCTTCTGCTTACGCGCCATCATGTTCACATCGTGTTGTATACCTGTACATGTAAATCGAATACACACGGTATAGCATCTGCACAGGTCGCAGCGGATCTAAGTCTCTGGCCACCAAGGACTTATTCAGCCGCTGTGCCACAGAATGTAAAGCAGGGTCCTGTGACGCTGTCCATTTTTCGGCAGGAGACTGGCTTAGCAAAATCCGGGTATAATGTGGGTAAGAAATCTTTGAACGCCAGGGTCGTCCACGACCTTTGCCCACTCCTGAGGCAACTGTGATGCCTGTGATCTGAAAGACGTCTCTGATAAAGAGGACCTGATGAAAGAGACACTGGTTCATTCACCCGCCCTGGTGAACAGCAAAAAGGTGGCCAGTCGCAAGTTGTTCATCTCCCCAAATATAGTATCATAGGCTCCAAACCAGGACCATCCCCAATATGGAAGGTGACTCTGAAATGTTGCAGGATACAACCAGGGCAGTCTCGAAATCAAAGGGGTACAATTCAAGATTTGTGAGACCACAACTGGGTGTGATTTCACGTCCATCCTCGAGAGAACTCCATGCGTCTGCAATACTATGTCTGCGCAACATGGGGCCAAAGGTTGAGAAGAGGGCAAGGACATGGACAATTTGAGGATCACGCTGTTGCACCCTGCTGCTTGAATGCGAAGCCTTGCCAAACGAATGTCAAGGCGTCACCTTGTCCACTGCCTACAGTGCAATATACCCTCTGGTAATTTAACATAGCTATTTAAAATGGCCATTTATAGTGGATTTTCCCATTAAAAATGGTGATTTTCCATAGCTATGTTAAATTACCAGAGGGTAGTCAGCTTGAAGCCTTTAGATCAACTTGAAGTTTTATCTGCCACCCTGTCCATTTAATTTATCGCAAGCTTTGCTAGGTGCTTGCTCGATTTGGCTCCACTCTAATTCTAATCTCACCCTAAAGTGCACCACGCCATTTAAGGCACATTGCAGGAGGCGCAACGCTCAACCTCCACAGTCCAACTTGGATCTATAACCAGACAGTGCCAAAATGCTACTCAAATACTCAATTACTCAACACTATCACCCACCACCCAACTAAGAAAATAAGAAAACAAACTATACACACTACGCCACGGTCAAGATTTTCATAGGTTTTCAGACCCCATCCACACCGGTTACAGTATCCCCATGCCTGGTTTGTCTTCTTCGGTGGTGAGCATGGTGTCCCCGGCGGTGAGCGCGGCGACGCTGGTTTCGCAAGCTTCGTCTTGGGAGAAGCGGAACCTTGGTGACACGGGCAGCAGCAAAAGTTGCAGCTTGGCTGGATGCAAACAAAATCTGAAAGGTTCAGGATAGGTTCAGGAATTTAGGGGGTAAATTTCAACTGTATTTCTGATCATTTCTAAACCGTTGTGATGAAAAAACAGTAAGTTAGCAAGGCCAAGCTGAGTCCCGTCTGTCCATTGCTGGTGAATGCTGGTGAACACCATCTAGCAAGCCAAGACAAGAATTCTGCTTGAACCGGAAAGTGAACATGCAAATTGCCAGATCCATGCACAATGCAGCAACAGATAGGAACAGGCTACATACCACGCAACCCATTGGAGGCAACGCGGATGGCTTGCCGCCCTTTCGTGGTCCACGGGCTGACTGGCAAGTTCCAGATGATGCCTTGGTATCCAGGATGTGAGATCTAGTGATGAACCATGAGATGTTGGGCTGCCGCCTTAGAAACCCTCCAGAGACATCTTGAGACTGAAATTTGGCACATGGATGTTTCAAGGTTTTTGGACCATGAAGATATGCATGTCAAATCGGCTCGAAAATCTGTGCCCCCAAGCGGGTCTCGGCGCATCTGCCTCGGCTCAATTTGAGGGGAGAAAAAAGAAAGACCTTGAAACTTGGCAGCTTGGCATTTCGAGTCCGCCTTGCTGGTCTCATGATCTGGCTTAATTTAACATAGCTATTGAACATGGTGATTTATAGTGGATTTACCCATGAAAAATTGTGATTTTCCATAGTTATGTTGAACGCTGGAACCTGAATTTTGAGCTCCACATTCTGCATCCATCTGTCTGCTTGGACCCGTGCTGTCCGCCAGCGCACCTCAGCTCAGTTCAGTGAGCGATGACCAACAGACTGCAAGAAGTGGTTAGCTGTGGCCCTGGCAGCTGCAGCACCTGGCTTCAGATATGAAAATAAGGCATCCCAAAATCATCCAAAATCCAAAGGGTCCAATGGTCAACTAATGTCAACTAGAGGTGTCCCTTCACGAAAAAAACTGGAGTAGCCATCCCACACTGCGCCATCCAATGATCGACCATGGCGAAGCTTGGAAGATGTTGGGCAATTTTTGGGATCATGATTTTGGGACAAACATCTTATAGGTTAATTGTCCCAGTCTTGAATCATCAGAGTATAGATCTTGGATGGATCATCTATCAAATCTTATCCAACTTTCGATGGAGGCGGCTCTAAATCCCTGCCTGGCCGAGAGGCAGTGGCCTCAAAAAGCCGCCGACATGAACCCGAATTGGGATGCAAAAACCACTTTAACACAGCCATCGATCCGAAAAGTAAAAAAAACAATACATATATATATATATATAATATGCAATGTATGTATTTATATATATATATATATGTGTGTGTGTGTATATATAATTATATATATGTGTGTGATTGTGTGTGTGTCTGTGTGTGTGATCTAAATTAATGATTAATAGATGTATCAATAGATCTTTCAACCACCACTTTCTCAGACTCCAGCCTCGGACCCAGGGCGAAGGTCATGTGCATCCTCAACCGTTGGAGCCTGGTGATTTGCTGTGCTAGCCGTAATGCCATGAGCCATGAAGCTACCATTTAGGGATTGCTTCTACATATTCCTATCATGTATATAATATGTCATAATATTATTTGTTTATATTATATATATATATATACATGTGTGTGTGTTACAGTATGTACATATATATCATATCTGATGATCTCTGACTACAATCCAGTAATGGTACCCTTGGTAGTTCGCTGAGCTCATCGCCAAGCCCAGGCTGGATTTAGCACCTTGGACTTGGTCGTAGCGCACCATGACTTTAAAAAAGAACTGTAGAGGCTTCTGAAGAAGTGGCATCACGAGTCTTTAACACACATGTGTATATATATATATACATGTAATATTATAAATTATATATATATAATTATACAGACAATATCTAAGGATATCTAAGGTGAAAGGTGAGGTCCGAAATAGCAGGGAGAATCTCCGCAAAATCTGGCACCTGGCGACCAGTCGCTGGGTCCACGACGTTGCTTTGCAACAGGCTGGCAATTTGGTGGCCTTGGCTGGCCATGAAACCAATTCGGGAATCTGTCAGACTCCTTTTTGTCGGGGTCCAGCTTAATTTCTAGGGTAATTATGGCAACATGTTGATTCATCCAAATATCTGGGAGGAATGCCAACCATAATTTTCATTGAGATGGGGATGGGTCAAAACCCTGGTACCTAGTGAACCCCAAAATAGCTGGTTTAGCTGGATGTTCATCCCACTAAAAATATGGTATCTATAGGTATTGACCCATACCCATCTGGCTTGAAACCGACCAACAAATGGCAGTTTTTTTTTGTCGTTTCGCTGTCGTTGAATTTGCAGGGTTTCCAGACGTGGGGGACGAGGCCGCTGTGCTCGGCGTGGAGGCGGGCACTATGCGTGAGACCTCTTCCTGGCGCTGGTTTTCCATGGTTTTCCTGGGCTTACCTATGGAAAACCATGGAAAACCCATGGCTTTCCGAAGGATGATCTCAAAATCATGGCCTTGAAAAAATATATGTGTGTGTTGATGAACTTTAATTCACTGGAGGATGTTTTTTGAAAAAAAAAATCCTGTTGCGACGCTGGCTTCAGGGATATAGGAGAAACTCCTGTACCAGGATGGGAGGACACCTGAATTCCTGTTGATTCTTCTGGCCATTGAAGGCGCCCAAGATGGAATTCTGAACAAAAAATGGGTGTTTCTGGCAATTCTGGGGGAAAATGATGGTGATCCTTTGGAACTGGCACCTTTCCATCTTGGATTTGCCCTGTGGGAACCACATGGAACCACCAAAAAGTTAAAACATCGTGGATTTCCCCTTGGGAAAATCAAAAATGATCTTCGGCAAATCCAGGTCAGTCACAGGCCGGCGTGGCATCATCTTCATCCACCTCGAGCCACAAACATCTTTAAAAGGTTCCCTACATAAAAGGATGTGCAGGAGCTACACGTGTGGTATCGTGTGGTCCTTGCCGCTGATGGAATGAACATGAATAAACACCAGTTATAGTTTTGGATATATATATATACGTATATATACATATATGTATGCTACTATATATATATTACAATAATATGGTACTGTAATGTTCGAGTCATAAACCATTTTTTTTTCACTGGGATGCACGTCCTTCGACCTCACAACTCTGGGCCCTCTGCAGTGGCAGACAAATGTGCCAGAACCTCATCTGGCCTTGGGGCTGGCTACAGTTTTACTGTTGGAGTCTCCGCCACAAGTTGCGACTCTTCTGATTCTCTCATGGCATGCAATTTGGTCATTCTAACATCTATATAAAATAGTCTATATATTTTGGGGGGTGGCGGGTGGCAAGGTTGCTGCGAGTTAATCATGTGAAGGACCCTCAGGGCTGTCTGCGGCTACCCTACTGCAGAGCTTTGAAGGGCTTGAATTATCTCAAACTAGCAAGCCGCAGACTCAAAACTGCAACTCTTACTTGCGGGAACACGTCTGGAATAGCAAGATCAGGCAGCAAACCGTTCTTTGCGACAAGAGTCATTAAGCAGCGCAGGTGGCAAATCCCATTAGTCAGGCTCAAGCGGCCAGAATCCCACCCCCGCAATCGTGGCTTCTGACGGGTGTTTATCACTATGATCCTCTTATCATTACCGTCAACTCATCATCCTTGGTGTTATTAATCGTTATTGTGTAGTGTCACGTCATTATTCTCATTATTACTATAAATATATAATAATGCATGTATGTATTTCTTATGGTTATCGGTGACGAGGGATTGCGGACTACTGGTGACCTGACATTGAACCGGACACTGTTCTGCTTTTGAGGTCGCAGCCCCTCTGGCACGTGACCACTGGGCCGCGTTGTCTTGGGTGTCCACTGGCTGACCCTATCCTGCAACATCCAAACATGTCCGAACCTGCTCTTTTACTTTATCATACTTTATCATGCTGTACATGCTACCAGTGTGCCGTTACTTGGATCTTTGCTTACCAGAAGGTAGATTTCTGATTGCTCGTTGCATCGCCTCCTGGCTCTCAGCATACACGGCTAGGGGCGCGGGCATCCCGTCCCCGACCTGGCTCAACAAAAAAGTCAGGCAGCTGCAAATCATCTGGCAGTTGCAACCCCAAACCGTGGGATTCTTTTCAAAAAATGGCCAAGTTATGTGATTTTGGCTTCGCAATCTTCAGTAGGAACCACAGGCTTCCCAAGGCATCTGAAGGGATCCCGAGGGGCGGGCCAAGCAGCCAAGGATGTTGCATCTTGAGTTGAAAAATGCTCTGTAGACGGAAGAGTTTGATATGGCAGATGCCATGGGTCAACATTGACTGGGCCCCATGTTTTGGGTTGATGCTAAAACATCTAAAACAAGATAGGCGGTTGATTCGGCGCCTTATGAAGGGTTATCGGTTATCGGTTTCAATTGCACTTGTTCTTTGTGATGTCACTGAAAACATGATATTTGTGGCATGTGTCAAACTGCGCGTGAAAATTCATGTTGATATTTCGATGGCAGGTGTATTACCCATAGGATCCATGTATGCTATATTTGGTAACATTTACCATCAATATACCCCCAATGTTAGCATATATACCATACAAGGATCCTATGGGTTAGTGAAAATTAGAATTTCCCCGCAGCGACGGTTGAATTTTCTGATCAAGGGTTTGAGAAAAAAAGAACATTAGAATTCGTGTGGTTTAGATAAATGATATGCAGCAGCCAGTCTATAGCAGGATTCTTTGTCAACATCCATCAGCGCCACAACATATTGCTCAGGTTTCTCAAAGTTGAATGTGTTTTCACACTAGGCATTGTGCCCTCACTCATGAAATCCAACATCTACAACGTAAGACGTCCTGTCAAGAACGTTAACACCCCCCCGCCCACCCCAACCGAAGACCTTCAACGTAACATCCACAACGTAAGACGACTCCTGTCAAGAACGTTAATACATCCCCCACCCCACCCCAACCCGAGACCTTCAACGTAACATCCACAACGTAAGACGACTCCTGTCAAGAACGTTAATACATCCCCCACCCCACCCCAACCCGAGACCTTCAACGTAACATCCACAACGTAAGACACTCCTGTCAAGAACGTTAACACCCCCCCGCCCACCCCAACCGAAGACCTTCAACGTAACATCCACAACGTAAGACGACTCCTGTCAAGAACGTTAATACATCCCCCACCCCACCCCAACCCGAGACCTTCAACGTAACATCCACAACGTAAGACGACTCCTGTCAAGAACGTTAATACATCCCCCACCCCACCCCAACCCGAGACCTTCAACGTAACATCCACAACGTAAGACGACCTTGAGGACAGCTTGCATATGGTGATGCACCGTCGTGTTGGTCACTCTTAAGACCCTGGAATCCGCAGATCTTGACCCTTGTTTTAGGCAGGCGGTTGATACGACGCCCTGTGAAGGTGTGTTAATTTTGAAGGTCTTGTGTTTGGGGGGGCCGGGGTGGGGTCTCCCACGTTGAACACACCCCCACAGCTCTTTTCTTAAGCTGCCCGAGATTTGGCCCAAGGAGGTACCCGGGTCCCGGGGCTAAGGTCCACCGGAACACAAATGGCTTGGCCACTGTGCTGTGAAACATTGGTGGCAGCTCCCATGGAATCTCTTCAAGATCAGGGAATATGGGCCATCCACACGTTCTTGCCGATTCTGACGGCCTACTGACCTACTGAATACGTCAGGAAAATTCGAAGATGGATTTCTGCGGTTTGCTCACCCCGATGCTTTCATCCCCCATGGCTTTTGCCACATCCCTTCGAAGGTCCAGAATCTGGTCGCCAATCTGCTCCAGCGTGGCGTAAACGGCTTTTGTGGCCAAAAGTGTGGCCACAGTATCCGTCTTCCTTGTCCGATCAATCCGCAGGTGCAAACAAGAAAAAACAAATAACACAACTTGTAGACAATTCTTTCTACCCTGCCAACCTGTGCGAGAATTGCAGGTTGGAGTTGCAGTAGAACTGGCCCTACTGGTGAGAGATAGAACAACTATGAACAACTTAAGAATGCAAAATGGATCGAAGTGCTTCCTGTTAAAATTGAGGCAGTGCTTGCCATTTGTTTAGCACTTGTACAACTTGTACAGTATTTCTCCTATGTCCAGAGGTTCATGGTCTCCAACCCAAATGTCCCTACCTTAACTGCCCTTCAGGCAAGCATCTTAAGCTCTCCACGAACCTTCAAGAGACCTTGTGCCAATTCTGCCAGGTGTAAAGCGCCACTGCTATCCGCATCCAGGGCTTCAAAGAGATTGGCACGATCTTTGGGAAGATCCAAGTCATCCATCAGTCTTTGAACCTGCCGATCCTGCACACAAGCCAGTTCAATTATCAGTTGGCAGTTTGTCTGTCAATGTCTTGTTTCGAAGTCGGGGGTGGCCATCCTGCCTGGATTACCAGCAGGAAGAGCTCTTTGCTGATCTGAATCTGATCAGATTGCCTATCATCATCGTCACCTGACAGCTGGTTGTTGAGCTACCCTAAATCCTCAAAATCTGGACGGTTGTGATTGGGGATATCTGGGGATGTCTGGGGATGATCATCCCAAATAGATGGCAAACATTTCGAAAGCACCAACCTGACACTGTTGTTTTTGCTCTTGGCGTCGATGACGGAGACCGTTGGAGGCTGATGCCATCCTGCAGCTGGATCTAATTAACATAAATTAACATAATTATTAACATAGCAACTGACTGAGAGTTTCCTGCCAACGGCATGCAGCAAGAAGATCCAGAAAATCAGAACTGCCCCACCAATGAAGGACCGATCATGTCCTCATCGTCTTCATCGTGTCGCCGGGTTTCCACGGCAATCTTGAACTTCCTGGGCGTTTACTGGGTACAATCGTTCTGCCAGCCTTCCTCCTTAAAACCCATTCGACCCATTCGTATCAAGCAATGAAAGCCGCTTGGGATCATCATCCCAATTTCAGGAATGGAAATTGGAAAGAACACGGTGACTAAAATCATCGAAAACCACAAGCCAGAAATGCAGGATATCCATGGATAATCATGGATATCCCCATTAATATCCTGGTGCTGAAAAATCCCGGTTTTCACTGGTAAAATCCAACAATGTTCTGTGTTTTTTGGCCACGGCTCTTTACGAGTTCACGAGTGAGGCGTGCAACCCTGATTGACTCGCGTTCGTGTTGCTCACTGGTCCTGGCCTCGTTCTCTCGAGCTGCCTGGCGCTCGAAAGGGATGATGCGTGTATACACAAATTAGATCATATTATTCGTATGCATTAAGTATGCAAATCAAAATAACACACACCATATGTATATATATATGTATATATATATATATATGTATATATATGTATATATATATATATGTATATATTTGTCTGTGTAACAATGCGATAACTATGTACATTTACATATATACGCGCAAAAACGTATCGACATAACATCAACATAGACATAGTAATACATACATTAATACATAGAAAAAATGTATACTATTATTAATATATCTAATTATGCATATATATATATATTACATATGATAAATATACATATATATATATATGTGTGTATGATTATGTATGATATATATACTATATGTGTGTGTCTGGCTGAAATATAGTAATTCACTGTTCTGAAATAAAGCATGGTTATGCAAGTATAGTTTCCCCTGCAAACCATCATTTCAATGATGTTGCAGTGAGGTCGTTATAATTCAGCCAAATATATAACTTAGATGAGGAAGATTCTGCTAGTAGCAAACCAAGTTGAAAGAAACGTACAGCTCTGAACCAACCTACTCGGCACGGTATTCCTGATCTTGACCTGTTTGCAACATCAAACCAACACAGTACCTGGTACCTGCTCATGTTGACTAGTGCTATTGGATCTGGTCTAAGCTTTTGCTGAAGCGATCTAGAGAAACAAATCGATGCACTGGAAGGTGTTATCACTTCGTTCAGCCCTTCCCACCGTTTGTTTTCAGTACATTTAGCCAGGGAAGTCCTGGATGGTGTGAGTTTCAAACCACTAGCGACAATCCGCCTTACTGTACGTTTAGAGTCTAGAGCCTTGTTTCTTTGACATGTAATATATGTAATATTAGTGAATCTGCTTAACATGTTGCATACTTCATAGTGCATTAAGATATGCAACTCTTGAGATCCACAACTTGGGAACGTTCTTGATCTTTATGCCCGGAAAGTGGCAGCCAAACAGCACAGTGACGGAGCCTTCATCGTGATATCCACCTCGGACAGCTGCTTTTTTTCCACCAGCGCATGAGCGTTTTATCTCGCCGCTATTAAAATTAGTGCATTCCGAGACACATAAACTGCAAGAATTACATTGAAAATTCCTGAGGCGTTCTGCATCGGCTGGATATCGGCAGACTCGGGGCCCGGGGAAAACGGAAAACGCCTGGATTATGGCATCAACCATCTGATCCTGGATCCATTTGGTCCATCTCCTCCCATCCTTGACTTTCATAAATTAGATTTACCCTCTGGTAATGACTAACATAGCTGGTAAACTAACATATAGCTATTGAAAATGGCCATAGAAATAGTGGATTTTCCCATTGAAAATGGTGATTTTCCATAGCTATGTTAGTTTACCAGAGGGTATATAAATTGATTCAACATGATGTAAATACCCCAGCATGAACACTTTACAGTGGCTTCCAGTCAGGAGACCCATAGTCACAAGCATATATCCAGCCACATAGAGAAGCACAAAGACCGGTCCAAACCTCGCGCTGCATCAATAATCAATTAAAGCCCTGGGAGTCATGAAAACCTTGAGGCTAGGAAGGAAAGCTATCAAGCTGGGAGATGTGAGGGTATCACTGTATCCTGTATATCAATGTAATTGTACCAAGTTGAAGCACATGAGCCGCCATCAAAGGTCTTGCCATGTCTTGCCTACCTAAAGACTAAGTGCATGCGTATGCCAGAGCTCAGACTTTGTTTCTTATCCGCCCACAGTATCCCACAATTCAATTTTAGCGCAGGAGTGGCTTGCGTTGTTGCTTATGCGCACTTACGCACACGAGGGTTTAATTCACCCGATGTCCTTACTGTCCTTACCACAAATTAAAATGAATAGGTCGTGAAGGTGGCTCACATAAAATCATCATCATCACATCATCATCATCATCATCATAATAAGTTTCTTCTTCTTTATATATCATCGCGATATTATATATTCTTCTTCACCAGCGGCAACAGCAACAGCAACAGCATCATCATCAACGCTTGGGGCATCCATGGCACCACCAAGAGGTTAATCCAGTAACCCACATAACTTGTTTATGATCAAGGCCACACATTATGGCACCGGCCCCAAGATGCCCCAAGGATGCCATGAGCATCATAATGATTTAATGTCATGGCACCTGGGTCTAGGTATGACAAGTGGCTCATCTGCAAGTAGCAGCGCTACTGGGAGCCCATCTTCGCTGATGCATTCTCCAGAATAGCAGCGGAAAGCTGTGAACATGGTTGATGGAACCGACCTGCGCAGCTCTACACGTGCATGGGTATGTCATGGTATGTCCCAAGCTTGGGGGCCCTCCTAATCTCGCAGAATAGTTCAGTTCGGCATGCGACACCAATGGCTTTGAGGTCATCTGGCCACGGCACCCTGCCACCCCGCGCCTGAAGAGGCTTCTTAAGCCATCTAGGCGATCCAAGTCTGCACCACGGCCGATGGTAATCGTTGCAAAGACCGCAATAATGTAAAGCACCACAAAGAGCAAGGCAAAAGCAAGGACCAGTGTCCGAAGACCACCCACTAGTCCTTTGATCATGAGCTGTAGCTCCTGCAGATTGCGGCAGTGGCAAAATTGAATTCTGAGGAACAAAGCTATGGAAGTTCTGTGCTCGGCTTGCCTTAATGAACTTCAGCCGGAACACCTTGGCTCAGCTATGACAGGCTACACAATGTAAAGATTAGTATGGCTTTGTATCGTCAGGAGTATGTGGCGGTAAGCGTTCTTTCAATTTTAAAACATCCTAGCGAGCTAACTGTCAACAGATTTGAATTTGTACATGCAACATCATGCAACTCAATCATGATCTTCTCAAAGAGTTCGGCAAATGAGCTGAACCAGTCTTGCGCCAGAAGGCTCTGAACATTCTCGTCAACCGCGCCAAGCGAATTGCCCTCAACAGCTGTGTGGGAGAGTCGGCCATGGAGTCGGTGGCATAGGTCAAAATGATGTCCACCTTAGCGTCTGCAAGACTTCATCATAAAATGTTGGGGTCCCCCAGTCTTCTTGCCAAAAGAAAGCAATCCATTCACAAATGACTACTATGAGACCGTTTCTGCACAGGCCACAAAGTGCTTTTGTGTGATCTTCTGTGATTGTTGCTCGCCACATCTCTGGTGCAGTGAGCTGCTCAGGGCTGACATGACAAGGCGCAGTGCTTGTCAGCAAGAGAAACAGATCGAAGTAATTCCATGAAGATTCAACACCACAAAAGTACCTGCATAGGTGCTTCTTGGGATCAGAATCGCGGTGGCGTCATTAGCGTCAGTGGCAGAGCAACAAAATATATTACATCATTAAATTAATCTATTTCATATAGTAACTACTAATTAATTATAATATGGTCCAGCAATTCAATGTCCAGCATATAGATGTATGCGAATGTACATCAGAAACAAGTTCCAAGTTCGCAGCCACAACGCCAGGGCAAAACCAAAAACCAAGCCCGGTTGACTTCAAAAAGGTTGCCATACTTCGGTTGCGGTGCTCTGTCCGGCCAACGACGAACAGCCGGAAGGTGGTCTCTGCAAACATTGCCACGGTGAACCCAATTTCGACCAGGGGCCAACCTTCCCAATGCTGTAGCTCTTCATCCTCAGACTGTCAAAATTAAAGACCTGGGGGGCCACAGATGGTTTAGTCTATTTTTAGTTAATAACCGTCCAATAATTGGGGTAATTACTCAATTTTGACCCATACCCATATATTGTCACTTGCCATTCGCGACGACATCTCTCCCTCTCCCTCTCCCTCTCTCCCTCTCTCTCTCCCTCTCTCTCTCCCTCTCTCTGTCTCTCTCTCTCTCCTCCCCATCGCCACGTCGTCGTAGGCATTTGATTGTTGGCTTATGTAGCCTGCTATGCAAGTTAACTCCTGTAACCTGTAAACCTGCATTTCCTTAATTCCAAAAGAACACGATTGAAAAAACAAAAAGAAGAGCACATGCAAACAAAAAACGAAATGCAAATGCGATTGGGAATGCAGCAAAAGTTTTTTTTAAAAAAAACTGAAAATATGCAAAATAAATGCGCTCCCCAAAAATACGGAAAAAAATGCCAAGAAAAATGCCAAGGTTTGGTTACTGTTTGCCTTTTTTGTTGCTTTATCAATTTTTGGCGCTTTGTTTTTATCGCATTTGTTTTCCGACCGTTTTTGGCATTTTCAAAAGTTGCTACAGTAAATCTGTTCTTTAAATGTGCTCTTCCAGAATGAACTTGGTTGGGGCAACATATCAGTTGGGGGCTATGATTCTGGATTGCTGTCTTTTGAGGGTCGCCACCTGGTTGGAACTCAGGTGGATTCAACACTCTCAGGCGAGCATCGGTCTGCACACCCAGCAGCACTGCATTGACCACGATCAGCAGTGCCACGAATGGCTCCAGGAACAAAAATGGGTCTGAAGCTGTTTGTGGAGCAGCTAGATCATTGATGCGAACCTGGGCCAAAGTCCGCTCTTGATTGATTTGGGCGTTTTATGGATTCAATTGTGACCAATGCCGACTAGAAACTCTAGAATCTCATCAACAAAACTTTAAGCCAAGGACCCCCTGATCTCCAAAGTATCCCTGCGGTGCTATTTTCAGATACTTGAGCACGTTCTTCATGTTTTGGACTAATCCTTCCCCATCTTCCCCCTAGATACTACATCCCCCGAGGAATGCCGGTTTGGTATTGAATCAAGATTTATTTTTCGGGAACCCATATCTAGGGGATGGGATTAATATGACTTGAGGCCAAAGGGAAGGGGGCGAAAGCTAGTTGGCAAGGAGGGATGTGTGAGAGAATATGTGGCGCGACCTTTTGAGTGACATTTTTTGAACTGAACTAAACTACCATTCGATGTTGCTGACTTGCTAACAACAGCGTATCATGATCTCCTAGCTCGCATGCACCATAACCATTCCACATATCAGCGTCAACATTGCGCTGCTAGTACTCTACTTGTCAAATACAAAGTGCCCCAACCGAACGCGCTTCGGTTAAGCTACTTTGAAAACCATCTGATTGAACCCTTTTCCCTCGGTCTTTCTTCATGTCCGTGACCTATTCTAAATATATAATGTGATAATATAGATATATAATTATATATTAAATACCCGTAACTACCCTTTTAAGGGGCGGGACGTACCCAAATTGCAAGACACAATTTAGACGTTTTTTGAGGGAGGGGGGCCTGGTAAATGTCAGCAAACATTTATTTTTCTAACTACGTTCTATTTACAAAATTTCATTAGTCGGTCCCCTCGTTCTTTACGGGATTTCATTTATTTTCTTAAAAAACGCAAGGGTGCGTTCAAAATGTAAGATTGCATGTTTGAAAAAAACAAGAAAATGAAAAAAAAATATAGTGTGAAGGCCTGCAAATAGCTGCAGAATTGCAGAAAATCAAAAATGCAAACTAAAAGTTTGTAGGACCCCAATTGCTTGGTATTTCCAATACATTCTACATTTTTTCTGCGCCTTTTCCATCATTTCCACATGTAACATAGAGGTATGTAAGGTATATGATTCCTTGCAAATTACTGGAAAATCCTTGAACTTCAAATAAATGTAAACTGAGATGTTGAAGGTCTTCGAATTTACCTCCTGCCTATGAGAAAACAACTGACCACAGGTGTAAACATCATGTAAACATCCTATACCTAAGGTCCATATTTCCTTGCAGAAACAGCTCAAAGTAGATGATAAAATCAAGATAAACCCACGTAACCATCCTACACCAAAGGTCCACATTTCCTTGCTTAATGCGTCTAATTGTGCCAAACTGTACATCATCAAAGTTTGACAACCAATATAAAACGCAAATTTAGCAACAAAATGATCTCAAATGCACCTCAAATGTACCTCAAATGAACCTGAAATGGACCTAAAATGAATCCTGATGAGGCACCTATAGTAAGCCCTCTATGAGCCTTTATGTTTCTGCAAGGAAATATGGACCTCAGGTGTGTGATGGTTACATGATTTTATCTTTGGCTTTACCATCTATTTTGAGCAGTTTCTGCAAGGAAATATGGACCTTAGGTGTAAGTTGATTGCAAACATCTGCAAACTTCTTGGAGACAGTTTTCGGACAATGGGTCGGACAATGGGTCGGACATTGAACAATTTTTACCTCCCCCGCCTTTTCCGTAGAGTACGGGGGGGCGGGGAACGGGGGGTACGGGGTGACGCATCTATTACGGACTTTCGACCCCCCTCCAAATGTAAATCTTCCGGGGCTCGGTTTTTGACATGGGGGGGAGCCTAACATACATATAGCCTTCCCCATCGGGAAACAATTACGAAGGGGTCAAAATTGATCAAAATTGTTGCTTACATTTTTTGAACGTCCCCCATGCTTACACCCCACGAAAAGGGTGGTGATGATGATGATGATATATATATATATACACATGTGCGTGTGTCTATGATGAATACATCATATCTAAGTATCTTTATCTGCCTAGCTACATATCGATATATCTATAGTCTATATGTATAGCTATCTGTATGTATATATATATATGTGTGTGTATGTATGTATGTATGTATGTATGTATGTATGTATGTATGTATGTATGTATGTATGTATGTATGTATGTATGTATGTATGGGTGGGTGGGTGGATGGATGGATGGATGGATGGATGGATGGATGGATGGATGGATGGATGTGTGTATGTATGTGTGTATGTATGTGTATATGTATGTGTATGTATGTGTATGGATGTGTATGGATGTGTATGCATGTGTATGCATGTGTATGCATGTGTATGCATGTGCATGCATGTGCATGCATGTGCATGCATGTGTATGCATGTGTATGCATGTGTATGCATGTGTATGCATGTGTATGCATGTGTATGCATGTGTATGCATGTGTATGCATCTGTATGTATGTGTATGTATGTGTATGTATGTGTATGTATGTGTATGTGTATGTATGTGTATGTATGTGTATGTGTATGTATGTGTATGTATGAAAATGAATGTAAATGGATGTAAATGGATGTAAATGGATGTAAATGGATGTAAATGTATGTAAATGTATGTAAATGTATGTAAATGTATGTGAATGTATGTGAATGCATGTGAATGCATGTGAATGCATGTGAATGCATGTGAATGCATGTAAATGCATGTAAATGCATGTAAATGCATGTAAATGCATGTAAATGCATGTAAATGCATGTAAATGCATGTAAATGTATGTAAACGTATGTAAAGGTATGTAAAGGTATGTAAAGGTATGTAAAGGTATGTAAATGTATGTAAATGTATGTAAATGTATGTAAATGTATGTAAATGTATGTAAATGTATGTAAATGTATGTAAATGTATGTAAATGTATGTAAATGTATGTAAATGTATGTAAATGTATGTAAATGTATGTAAATGTATGTACATGTATGTACATGTATGTAAATGTATGTAAATGTATGTAAATGTATGTAAATGTATGTAAATGTATGTAAATGTATGTAAATGTATGTAAATGTATGTAAATGTATGTAAATGTATGTAAATGTATGTAAATGTATGTAAATGTATGTCAATGTATGTCAGTGTATGTCAATGTATGTCAGTGTATGTAAATGTATGTAAATGTATGTAAATGTATGTAAATGTATGTACATGTATGTAAATGTATGTAAATGTATGTCAATGTATGTCAATGTATGTAAATGTATGTAAATGTATGTGAATGCATGTAAATGCATGTAAATGCATGTAAATGCATGTAAATGCATGTAAATGCATGTAAATGCATGTAAATGCATGTAAATGCATGTAAAGGTATGTAAATGTATGTAAACGTATGTAAAGGTATGTAAAGGTATGTAAAGGTATGTAAAGGTATGTAAATGTATGTAAATGTATGTAAATGTATGTAAATGTATGTAATGTATGTAAATGTATGTAAATGTATGTAAATGTATGTAAATGTATGTAAATGTATGTAAATGTATGTAAATGTATGTATATGTATGTAAATGTATGTAAATGTATGTAAATGTATGTAAATGTATGTAAATGTATGTAAATGTATGTAAATGTATGTAAATGTATGTAAATGTATGTAAATGTATGTAAATGTATGTAAATGTATGTAAATGTATGTATATGTATGTGTATGTATGTATGTATGTATGTATGTATGTAAATGTAAATGTAAATGTAAATGTAAATGTAAATGTAAATGTATGTAAATGTATGTAAATGTATGTAAATGTATGTATTCACTATACCAATAACCCCGCCTTATGATCTGGTAACTTAGGTGCGTACATCCATCGAGCACGAAATGCTTGGGAATCTTAAGAGGCGCATCCTCATTTCTCGCCAAGACCAGGTCATGTTTTCATGCAGACCTCTTGGGGAAATTGAACGCAGGACTTAAGTGGTTGTTCTCCCAGTATACATTACATTGCATTCCATTACGTTACATTAGATTAGATATGATTGCAAATCCAACTCCAGCTAGCAAGCTAGCTTTCGTGATAATCCGCATGGACAGGCTCTTGAGAGCACCCTCCCTGCAACTGACAGTTCATAGTTCATAAAATTCAGTCCCAATATATGTTGTCTGATGTTGTCTGCATTTGTCTGCCAATGTCTGCCATAGCGGCAAAGGTGAGCTCTGCAACGAGTCGATTCGTGTCACTTGCCAGAAGAATCTCCTTCAAAGCTCGAAAGTGCTCTGCAGATGGCCTAAGATTTGCCATGGCACAACGGCAGTGGCCATCACTGACGAAAAACACTTGATTTTTTTTGCCCAGGCTGACTGGATGCAAAGAAAGAAGAAATGGCGCAAAGATCCGCAAAATGCTGAAGGCACCATAAGGCACCTCGGTTTTGAGCCAAGCCAGGCCGAGTCTCCCAAAGATCTTTCTTGCATCCGCATCCATCACAAAGGCATAGACCAAGGCTCGAAACGGCACGACATTCCAGCTCCGCTGTGGAAGATCATTCATGCGTGTCCGCCAAAATTCCGGCACACTGGTGGCCTGTTCCTCTGGCCACTTCCATTTGGGTCGGCAGCTCAAGGGATCCACAGTGAGCACCGAGGGATCCGCGGGCCGCGTCATCCCGGTCAGCGCGGAACGGCGCATGACCTTGTCCGTCAACGTGGCTGAACGTTGCACACGGAAGTGCTTTTCCTGGTGCTGCAGCTCCAAATCCACAAAATCCTCAGGTGCCATACGTCGTTTTTTCGTGCCATGTTTGACCCCTTATATATTGTTGAAATGGCTGTGTAAAACCCATTATGGGGATAATTTCATGGGATATGCACCTATAAGAATATGATAATATGATGTTTTGTTCAAAAATTAATGGATACCTCCACATGTGATCAATTTAATTAAGGAGGAAAAATGATGAGAAACCAGGAGGGTTTGGGGCATCCTGTGTTCAGAGACAGACACACACCCACACAGCTAGGTAGGTAGGTAGATAGATCGATAGCTTGCTAGGTAGCTAGCTAGCTAGGTACGTAGGTACAATAGAGAGGTAGAGAGGTAGAGAGGTAGAGAGGCAGAGAGGTAGAGAGGTATAGAGAGGTAGAGCGGTAGATAGGTAGATAGGTAGATAGGCAGATAGGTAGATAGATAGCTAGATAGATAGCTAGATAGATAGCTAGATAGATAGCTAGATAGGTAGGTAGAAAGATAGATTCATGCACGTATACATACATACATACATACATTACATTACATTACATTACATTACATTACATTACATTACATTACATTACATTACATTACATTACATTACATTACATTACATACATACATATATATAATATTATGTATATATATATGTGTGTGTGATGTGTTTGCATGTTTTGGTGGTACAACACGATTTATCATGATACAATAAACTAAAGTAAATAGATCTCCGGGGAACTTTTTTGATCTTTTTTGGTTGAGAAATGCTGAAAACTATGATGATTAGTTATGGCATGTTATGGCCATACATACTCGTCCAAAGGGAGGTGGGAATCCTGGGTATTGTCCAAGCATGTCCAACTCGTCGTAGAGGACGGACATGACATCCGCCCCCTGGATGCATGAGGATTAAAAAAAAGTTTGCCTGGCGATGAACCACTCCAAAACCAAGAAGCTGCCAGCCTATTCACCAACATGTTCACATCTTCCTCCGAAAAACGAGTGAGGCCCAAAGCCACAGCTGCATCGTGCAGAACTTTGCCCGAGACCATTCCACTACGAACCCCAAGCCGAGCTCTTAGCGTCTCCGCCGTATGATCAACTTGGCTGTCCAGGGTTTGTTGTGTGAGTGTCCTTTCCAAGTCTCGCAGATCTCTTCCAGACCTGTCAGTTACCACGGATCCCGTAGAGTATTTGGACCTTCGAGAATTTCGGGATTGCTTGGACTCGTCCGAGGACACTGTAGGCTCAGAGCCGCCTTCAGGATTACTCCCAGTTTTCTCACCTAGTGAGGCACACACTGTAGGCTCAGGGCTGCCTTCAGGATTACTCCAAGTTTTCTCACCTTGTGAGGCACCAGCACCATCAGGAGCGGGTACTGGAGGCTCCTCTGAAACCAGAGCTGGCTGAATGGTGGACATCAGCACCGCTGGTGGGCTGCTGGGAGGAGGTTGGACGACCTCTTCCTCTTCAACCACTGGGGCTGTAGTTGGAACCGGTTCAGCCTCGAGAATCTCAGCAAGAACGTTGCTCTCGAAGGTCAGAGATCGTGTGGGATTTTTCTTCATTGCCGATTTACCCGACCTCATTTGGCTCTAAGGGTCTCTCCCCGTGTGCCTGTCAATTATCAAAAAAATGATGATGAAAAATGTGTTTGAATTTTGGGGTGCGCCCGGATGGCCTAAATGTTGGAAGAGTGCAACGCCATTGGTGCGAAATGCCTATAGCATCCTGTAGTCGCTAACAAACATGTCAAGGGTGCATTTTGCAGAAGCCAACCGTACAAAACACAACACAAAGCTTCCCTGTGCGGCCAAGACTCCGAAGCGCAGTGGCCATCCCAGGGGTCCCAGCAGTTTGGGAAGATACACTGCTTGAGAGCCGTTTTGCATTTGTACTGTCATGTGCCTCCAGGCAGGCATCAGCATCAAATGAAAGTGATAACATATGGCAAACAAACGAATGACAAATCAAGTTCCAGAGCTGTGGGTTTGACATTGCAAAGCGTCAATAACAATAACAAAAATAATAATGATAATGAATCATCGAATAAGTTTAGAAGTCAAACTTCCAACAATATGGACAGATGAAAAAGCAGAGGTGGGAAGAGTCAGAGAAGAGAAGAGAAGAGAAAAGAAGAAAGAAGATCAGAGAAGATCAGAGAAGAGAAAGAGTCAGAAGAAAGAGTCAGAAGAAAGAAGATGCAGGTGCGCGAAAAGGTAGAAAGTCGCGACTCACTGCGTTTTTCCAATGATTTGTGGCTCCAGAGGGTCGAAAAACTAGGCTCGCTAAAGCGCCGGGCGCGGAGCCATCTGGCTGGATGACAGATGAAAAATTGCGAAATTGCACGCCGTTGTGGCGCGAAACACATTTGGAAGCGAAAATGTACAAAACACACCATTCCTGGAGCACTTTTGGAAGTTGAGATATGTTGAGATGTTGAAAAAGAATAAGCCGTTGTGGCGCGAAGCAC